TATATATATATATATATATATATATATCTACTAATCCTATTTTTTCGTGAGCGGACTAAACACATCAATATTGACTGCTACTTCACTCGAGAAAGGATTGCCTCCCTCATGCCGATCTAGATCTAATACTAATTGGCAAATATATTAACCAAGCCGCTATCCATCAGACCTTTATTAATATTGTTATCCAAGATAGCTGTCAAAAATATCTATAGCTCATCTTGAGGGGGAGTATTAAAATATATACTCTCTGCTATACACACAGGGACGTCAGGCTTTAGTATATTTAGACTATTCTATAACAATATTTTGGTGTCCTTTGGCCAATTTTACAATATATATCTTGTACTAGACTTTGTAATAGGGCCTCCCTTTTTTCTTCATTAAAACAAGTTATTTTGTTTCCCATTATTATCTGTCTGCTAAAGGAGAAGGCGAAAAAACTTTACCAACCTCCAGCCATCCACAGCTAGACAACCCATTTTGAAAGGAACATAACAAACAAAAGGAATAACTACCTTATTCAATAAATAATAATTAAAGGGATTCACTACTAGAGTCGGCGGCTCAGCTTTAAATGACATACTTAAATTATTGAATATTGTACCTTGCCAACTATGGTTCAACCTATTCCGCCATTTTAAATGTTGTATCTCACTCTCTGTTTCTAATATTCTCCCTGAGACAGCCGTGGCAAAGGACTTGGTGAAGACTCTGTGTTGATGATGATGGCATTTGCTGTTAAGAAATATAGAATTCAGACCTTCCGTGCTAAAATTAGTGAATCAAATTTGCCGTCACTTAAGCTCTTCCATAAGCTGGTTTCTCACTTTCTCTCTCTCTCTCCTTCCCCCTCACCCAAACCATTTTTTCATGAGCCAGTATCTAGAGGCCATTATTCATTTCTAATGGGTCATCTTTACACGCAGGGTTTCAAAGATGTTTCTTACAGTGCTGCCTTCAATGAGGTAATACTCAGTTTTTCATTTTGTTTTCTATGAATAGGGGTATAACTGAGCCAAGCCGACTAATGAGCCGGCTCAAGCTCGACTCGATAAGTTACTTGTGAACTGAGCTCGATGAAATAACAAGCCAACTCTAATTAGCCCCGATTTGACTCGTTAGCTAGTGAGCGGGCTTGTTTAAGAAATATTAATAAAAAATATACCCAAATAATATTAGAATTCAATACTGTATCTTTAAATTATTAAAAAATAAAAAAAATATGATTATTTATATTATTTGATTTCTTGTTATTTATCTAATTGCTCATTTAATTTGTCATTTTCTCATAATACTAACTTGAATTAATATTATTTTCTCTCTTTTGTAATAAACAAGCTAACTCATGGCCTCCTCAAACTCATAGAATTATACTCGAGCTAAAACTCGATTAGTTAATCAAGCTTAAGCTCAAGCTGAGGGTAGCTCGGACTCGACTTTACTCGTTTACACCTCTAGCCATGAATTAGTTGAAATAGAAAAAAACTTAGATATTTCACTTTGTGATGAGAGATTTTAAATTGTCGCTCTATCTTTGTTTTTATTTTTATGGTTTTCATGTTTTCCCATCATTTGACAGGTTACACTTGAGTTGCAAGTGACGGACCTTTCTTTTGTAGATGCCATCGCCTAACTGGTGAATGTTCCTTACCCCTACAGCATTGACATATAGCTACAGTTTCCCTCCGAACCTTCTTTTGCTTAAGCTTAGCCCTTTTTAGCACCACTAGCAGGATTTTAATATTTGCATACGCCAAATTAAGGTCTTTTATTTTATATATTGATTAGTGATTATGGTCTTTTGGGCTGAACCTTGAATCGGTGGTAGGTTTAAGGTTCACAAGTTCAACCAATATCTCACTGGGAATTCACCATGATGGTATAAAAATAATTACAATTAATTAAAGTTATTTAAATTGATATAATATCACATCGAAAATATCGCTAATACATTTCTTTTTATATTTTATGTATAATTTTTATAATACCAGTGTCATAAATGCAAATATCAAACTTTAGTTGTCTACATAAGGATTGTGGTATGTACATGTATGCACACACACTCACACACTTTATCTTGAAATATAACAGATGAAGTAAGCATTATGAACATTGTTGCATGTTAATAAGATGCTAATAAGTTTGCAGGACATCTTTCCTGTGTATGGTAGCGGCAATGTATTTTTAACCTGTAGTCTTTTTTTAATTATAGCATTTAGTTTTTATCTTATGGAACTGGCTAAATATTTCAATGAGCTTTTTGGGTTTGATCTAAATTATATGATTAGATTGATTGACTGCAGAACTCTGCTTGCTGTGTTTTTTCAAAATTTTTGAGGGAGATCTGACCAATTTTTCTTTTCCTCATTTCCTTGGAGTTGTACCTTGCAAAAAGTTGGGTTTAAAAATTTATGAGCATTTGCTTTGTAGACTTTGTGGATATGTGAATTCTCTCCTATTTCAAATCAAATTTGCTGTCTTGTAATGCAAATTACTATTTGTTTAAATATTAATAATTGGAATAGGAGATAAAAAATTAATGGGAGGTGATATATTTGGTTTTTTTTCTTTAATATAGCATATGATCTTTTGTAGTTAATGAAATTTGATGAAAGGAGCATAATTGATGAATTGAGACATATATAGTTATTTATAAAAATTGAGTCATTAAATCACAAATAAACAAATAAGTTTTACGAGAAGTGTTCTTCGAAAAATTGTATAGTTATTCTATGAGATTGTTTGATCTTATGACGTAGGATAATGGTCAAGGATATATATTGTAAGAGTACAAACAAAGGAATAAAAAAATTATTGTTTTTGGATTAGGTGATGAAATTTAGAAGATAAGTAATTGTTAAATCTCTTAAGCTGGATTGTTAAAGAGCTAAATTAGATTTTTTTTTCTTATTTAGTCAAATTTGATGTGAGATAGGATGATTAGTTATATGGATTGTTGTAACAATTTTTTGGAGTGTTTATAAATAAATTATATACTAATAAGAAGATTTGTTGATTTTGCCAAAGATAAGTTAATATTATGTTGTTATGTATGATGGAGTATTAACTAGTTTAATATTAGTTGTGGAGTTAGCCAATAATTTATAATTATCATAGAATTTCGTCTTTTTTGTTTTAATAATGGAGATATTTATGAAGGCATTAAACTTGTGAAAATTATTATAAGATGGAAGTCTTGGAAATAGTAGATCAAAGATTGAATGTGTAGAACAATGCTAATATTTATCGTTTAATATAATTAAATTATGAGACGTTTATATGTGACGGGTTTAAATATTTTGGTTCTATTTTATTGAAAATTGTGATATTAAGGAGCACATTGTTTTTAGAGTTAAATATACTAGTGTTTATTTATATTAACTTATATTAACTTTACATTTTTTTCATTTTAGCCTGATAGATGTACAATATTGTATTTCTTTTGATTTAGTAAACACAATAGTTGGGCTTGGCTTTTAAATTTTTATAAAAAAATTTAAAAATTCTGCTATTTCTAACAAATTCTTTATTTGAACATACAATAGTGAATGAGGTTGATGATGTTAATTCATAAATTTCACATAATTTTATTCTTCAAATTATAAAAGCCCAATAGTTTTCTCAAAATTTACTAATTCAAATTTAATAATGTTTAATTTTAAAATTGCTAAATTTATTTTGAAATGAGTCTAATACATGATTTATTAATCAAATATTATATTGTTTTTTCTCTTTTTTTTTGGATTTGATAGGCACACCCAGCTTTTTATTAATGATAAAAGATTACATAGATAGTTAAGAATAACCAAAAAGATCATATTAGAAGAAATAAAAGATCATAAAAAACGGCATATGAACAAAATAATAAATGAAGGGATAGAAGTGTAAATGAGCTAGAGTGAATCTTTGCATCATGATTTAATAAACTCCATGCAGAGTTAACCAAAGAGCAACAAAAACGATAGTGGCACCAGAAAAAGGGGTAGGATCCAGGGGAAACAATAAAGAATACAACAATTAAGCAAAACAAATGTTGCCTGATCACAAAATTAAGCTGATAAGACTAAAATCTGAGCACCTAGCAAGATGCTGGGGAAGAATCAAGTGTAATATCGAGCCTACAGAAATGATCCCAGGACTGCGAATCCAGAGCTGCCTTGGGTAACTGGTTTAGCCATGCTTGTGAGGGGAATTCTTCATCATAGCTTTAAAAGAAACCCAATATTTGCTGCAATTCCCAATCAAGTGGTATCATATGCAAAGAAAAATAGCAAAATCAATCGGGGACATCCAGTATCAACACAAGAGTGGCAAAACCAGAACTTTTTCCAATTTTCAATCAAGTGTAGTGTCCTTATGCAAAGAAGAGTAGCAAGACCATAGGGGGTAACCAGTATCAACACAGGAATGGCAGAAGCAAAGACTGCAGGCTTGAGTATTGAGCATATTAAATGAAATAGTGTCAAAAGTCGTTATCTTAGTGTGATCAAAATAATGTAAATCCTCAGACAAAGCCCCATAGTGTGCAAAAATATGAGATGTTTATAGAAGCTAAGGCAGGAACCGTCTGAGTAAATAACAGTACTAAAAAAATAGCATCATAGAGAAGTGATTGAATTAGGAGGCTACAAAAAAGTAACAAAAACATTCACTTAGAGTTTAAAATGCTAAAATATGAGGGGTATTGCCTTAAAATTTCATTTCCTGCATTTAAACCTCACAACAAAATGAATTCTATTCTTAATAACATCAATATTGGATGCTTCATTGGAGGGAGGAATTAATTCCTCCGATTTCTTTCAAGAAATTAGTAGCAAGTGATATGAACTGCTAATAGGAAAAACCTCTTTGTGATTTTGCGCTGAAATTATGAATTCAATTGCTTCTTAGGAGAGGTATAATATTATGAGGAATGAAGCGTTTAAGCACATTTCTGGTGGTTTGGGTTTTAAAAGTATCAATGATTTTATGAAGCTCTGGTTTCAATTTAGATGTGATAATTCTCTTTGGTCTCTTTTGATTCTCACCCTCTTTCTATCATTTGATTTCTTTGTTTGGAAGAAAATGCTTAAAGTTGTCAGAATTACAGGGATTTCTTATACTGGGATGTTGGTAATGGGAATTGTAGCTTATGGTATGATAATTGGTTTGGTGAAGCTCTTTTGGCTAATTCTTATTTGGGCCCTTTTGAGATCGAGTTTGCTGTTAATAAGTGTTGGAACAATAACAATTGGGACTTAGAGAAATTGAATGGCTTAATTAGTGAGGGGATGCTAATTTGATTGCTAAGATCCCTATTACTGTTGGTAACGATAATATTAAAATTAAAGGTCAAAGTGGTATCTCTATCACTAAAAATTTTGTCAAGTCTCTATATTTTTGTAATGGCATGGATCTAAAATGGGCTTGGAATTCTTTCGTGAAGCCTTCTCATTCTTTCTTCTTTTGGAGGTTTCTTCATTGTATTATTCTTACGGATGATATTCTTAAAACGAAGGGTTTGAGGCTCTCCTCTTGATGCTTTCTTTGTAATCAGGATGAGAATAATGCTGAACTTATGTGAACTGTGCTTTTGCTAAGGATATTTGGTTAAATGTTTTTAATCTCTGTGATAAAAGGATTAATGATATAAAGCTGAATTCCATTGCTGGTTTTTGCAACTGTTGGAGGAATTACAGTGGAGGTTTGTTCTTTGCTTTCATTTCAATTGTACTGTTTTGGTTTCTTTTGGTTTACTAGGAATGAAACTAAACACAAGGATAATTTGATTTCTAAACTTTCCTGTTTTACTTATATTAGAAATTTTATTTTTAAGATGCTTAAGTATGGCAGGTTTAATAAGCTTATTGGAAGTGATATGTTGCAGATTTTTAATAAATTCAATATATCTATTCCTGCTAGTTATAACCTGTTATGTGGAAAAAACCTAATAGAGGCGTTCTAAAATTCAACACAGATGGTAGTTGGAATAATTTGATTGCAGGTATTGGTGGAGTTTGCCGTAACTCCATTGGCTTTTGTTTACTGTTGTTTTCTGCTCCTGTGCATGGGGTTTCTCCTATTTGTGCTGAAGCTGAGTCGTTTTTTTTTTGGCTTTGTTTCTGACTGTTAGATGCAGTTGGAATTATATTGTGATTGAACTAGATTCTCTTGAATTGTGGAATTATTTCAATAAGAATAAAGAGTATACTTGGTTATTCTTTTCAAATGAAAAGAATTTTTATTTTACTTGAGTTTGTGCAGGTTTATTGGATATTTATACAGCGTGAAGGCAATCAATGTGCAAATTGGGCGACTAAAAGAGGTTTGGACTTCCAGAAGTTTTGCTTTTCTGCTATTATTCCTTTGGAGCTAGATCGATTGATTAAAAGTGATGATCTTATATTCGTACCATTTAGTCTTTTTAAGTGTTTTTTCTTGGGTGGTTTTGTAATCGTGGCTAAAGGTTCTTTGGTTTTTGTTTTTATTGTGTGAGTTATATGTGTGATGGGTATTTAGTAGAACTGTTAGCCACCTCTTTGTAATTATTTTTTTGATGAAAAAAATTTTCTACAGACTTCTTAAAAAAAAAAAAAAAGCTAATTGATACAGGAAGGACATTCAAAAAAAAATGTGTGAATGTGATTTGAATATCTCACCTAATTTATTTCCATTATTTTATGCATGTTGTATGTTCTACATATTGGAGTCATTAAAGTTATTATATAATGATATTGACATTATTACATGAGATTAAGATTTATGATAGAGACTTATAATATTTGTTATTAAGTAAATGTTTTAATCTTTTTTTTTTTTTTTTTGCATTTCTTTTATTTTTCTCTCATCTCTTATTTTTATATGAGGCATGTTTATGGCAACACATAATGCTGCTTTTATGTTTTCTGCATGACAGCCTTGATGTTGAAACTAGGGCTGTCAAAACAGCTCGTTGTTCGCGAACAGCTCGTGTTCGGCTCGTTAATTTTGTTCGATAAGTTAACGAGCCGAACATGAACTAAGATGTGTTCGTTCGTGTTCGGCCCGTCGGCGGCTGTCCAAACAGAAAACTAAGCTCAAAACTAAACCTCAAACAGAGCATAACACACACACACAGATATATATATATATATATATATATATAATAAGTAGTATTTTAAAAAAAATTAATTGACTACATAGCTACAAAGATTTATAACCAATTAAAATATTGATTAAGAAAATTGAATAAAAATTATTAAATTATTAAGCAAACGAGCCGAACACGAACATACTTTTTTAGCTCGAAATATAAACGAGCCGAACACGAGCTGAGCCTCGTTTACACCCCTAGTTGAAACGGAGTTTCTCACAAAACCATGGCTGTATTTGTATCAAAAGCTAGCTCTCAAGCCCAAAAAACATTCCGTCCGGATGTCCGCACGTGCGATGTCCTGGCGGAATATTTTCTCCCCTTTGATACATCGCTTGCATGTGCGGGCAAACATGTGATAAATGAAAACCCTGGACAGCATAAGTCTTTGAAATTAATTGTTCTAAAGATGGGACTTCATTTCGGTTGATTTTAGAGAGCATATGCCATCTAATATTAGTGAACATATGCCATCTAATGTTGTAAACTTGATGGGAGCTAGGACGGCTCATGAAACGTGGGTAGTGACAAATGGTGTATGTGCAATTGTGTGCCCACCCTCAAGAGTTAATAATAATATTATCACATGCGATCAATATTTATATTAGAAATTTATGATATTACCATTATTATGCATTTCCATAATTACTCTTTGCTCCTATTTTTATATTGGTATATATATACTTGTATTATCATGATGTTTCCTTATTTTTTACATAATGAATTGAGGAATTTGGCTTATGAAACACTATTTCCCTTCAATATTAATTAGCTTAAGGAATTTGGTTTACTCAACACAAATTCCCTTGGTCAAAACTTGTTGCAAAAAGGAGCTGGTCAAACTTATCATTAAATATATAGTTAGTAATTGCTTTTTTTTTTTTTCTTAAGCCAGAAGAGCTGGTCAAATATAAAATATTGTAATATGAATAGGTCAAAGTTGAATTTCCCGGAATTGATAAACATTAGCTGTATGTGTGCAATTGGAAGGTTTACATTCATATCATATAATTCTCTTGTATTTATATATATGAACATTAATTTTTACATATATGATGCATCCTAGTTTAGATGTACATGAAAATGTGTATTTCATCGGGTATGAAAATTTCGAATAAATATTACATCAGGATTCCGTACGTAGAATTACTTATGTGTTATTACATTTTTGTATTTGTAATGGCATGAATCTAAAACGTGCGGAGTTCAATGAAATCACGCCACGTAGAAAAAAAAAAATTTTACTGGTAGCGCAAGGGAATATTCTTCTCTTGTTATTTATGTGTTATTGTGTGTTATTCAGGTATTATTGTGTGTTATTCAAGTATTATTGATGTGTTATTATAACATCGGGAATATTCTCAGAACACAATAATACCTGAATAACATATAATAACACATGAATAATACAGAATAACACGAGGGGAATATTCCCTTGTGTTACCAGGTCGATCACCTTCACGGCGTAATTTCATTGGACTCTGCACGTAACTCTACGTGCGGAGTCCTGATGTGATATTTTTTCAAAAATTTCAGTTGGTAGAAAAATTAAGAAGAAGCAGCTGAAGATATTTTTTCAAAAAGTTCAGTTGGTAGAAAAATTAAGAAGAAGCAGCTGAATAATTGTCAGTTTATTCTTATACAGTTTACATTTGGATGAGTTTTAGAATTATTGAATTTATTTTGAAATTTTAAAAATTATATAGGATGAGTTTAATCTCAAGAATTTAATAAGTTATGTAACAGCATCTTATTAGGCAAATTTACACATTCATCACACAATTCTTATGTATTTACCATCTAACACCCCCCATATCTAAATTAAATTAAGATTGATTTGATTTGAATTAAAATTAAATGCTTTTATAAAGAATTCTCCTATCCCTTCTTATCCTAAGCTCAAGACCACCGATCGGAGAAATTATTCGGTACGGAGAGTGTACGTAGAGCTGCGTGCGCTCTCCCATAACAGCTGCGCATCAACCATCCTGTATGTCAGTGGGTCCCACATGTGCAGCTGTAATCTCAAAGTGCACGCAGCTTGCGTACGGTCTTCGTACTCAATAGTTTCTCCACCGATCGGGTCCACTCCAAAGCAAAATTATTATTATTTTGCATAAATAAATTCTTATTCAAGCCAAACTAAATAATCATAAATTATGGGGATGTGTTTGACTAATTAAATTTATATTTTAAATTGTCTTAATTTTTTTAAAGACTAAAGAATTCATTTTTGGCGAAAAGCCTATGAGAACATTGTAATTAATTTTTTTTTAATATATTTTGAAAATCAAATCAAGCGGTGTCGAGGAGTCAATCCCGGTAGGCACCAAGAGCTATCGGTCGACATAGAGCAGATGATCAAGCCGTGAGGGCCAAAAAGACCAACCGAATGAATAGACGAACGACTTGCTAATTCTGTAGAAAGCGAGAGGGAGATTTGACAAACAACGATTCGATCATGGGAATGATTATATTGACAGATACAGTGGTCAGCAGTAAAAAATTTCAATGACATTATTGATATTTCATAATGTAATCCTTATGCACTATAAATATGAAAATCATGACCTAAGGAGGGCATTTTTTAGGAAAAAACACATGAATAAATTACTCGCACTTCTAAGGAGCTTTATATCTTAGTGTGCTTCACGAACAAATTTGAATTCAATAATATGTAATATAATTTGTGATATAAAAAGTTTCGTGTGAAACAAATAAAAACATTTCTTTCATAAAAAAAAGAAATACATACCACTTAATCTAAATTTAAAAACTTGTGTGTAATATGTAAATATATAATAATTGCAGGTTAAATATGTAAATTTACTTTTAGTTTTTAACAAAATTGGCGGGGCGGCATATATATTTTATTTCTTAAGATTTACATACATACCACTTAATTTCTATGTATTTACATACGTAACACCTAAACTTGAATTTTTTACACACAACATCTAAACTTAAGCTATAAACCGCCATGAATTTTTCACACACAACATCTAAACTTAAGCTATAAACCGCCAACTAATCCGTCACAAGCTTCCCCTCTTCTAAAAAAATCGAACTTTTTCCCTTTCAGATCCCCAATCCTCCAAATTACTCCACCTCCAAACCTCTCAAATCCAACCTTCACCTCTCCGCAACCCAAAACTCCTCTTCCGTTCTTCCCCGACGCAAAAAAATCCCACCTCTTCCGCCAAAAATGTCGATGTCCATAATCCCCCTCCTCCTCCTCCTCTTTCTCCTCCCATCCTCCACCCCACAACAAAGCTGCACCCTCGACAACTTCTCCAAAAACCGAATCTTTACTCTCTGCAACTCCCTCCCGGAGCTCTCCAGCACTCTCCACTGGACCTACCACGCCTCCAACTCCACCGTCGACATCGCCTACCGCGCTCCTCAATCCGCCGACGGTTGGATCGCTTGGGCTCTCAACCCCACCGGTTCCGGCATGATCGGCGCTCAAGCTATCTTCGCCTTCCTCGATTCGACCGGCTCCATGACTGCTATCTCTTACCCTTTAGCCAACACTAGCCCTACTGTGAGTAATATAAGCCTTAGCTATAAGGTTTATAGTATGGAATCAGAGTTTGCGAATGGGGTAATGATTATTTATGCGACGATTGAGTTGCCAGGGAACAAGACGAGGATTAATCAAGTGTGGCAGGTGTCTGATTTGTTTACCAATGGGTTTCCGAATGGGCACAGGACGACTGGTCCGAATGTTTTGTCAACGGGAGTGTTGGATTTACTTTCTGGGCAGTTTACAGCGGCCGGAAACTCCAGGCTGAATCTCAAGAATGTAAGTGGTGATTAGTTGATTAGTGCTGAAAATATGTGAAGCTTTTTACTTTGGAATTTGGTTCATTTGATTCGTTTATTGGATTTTCTTGATTTAGCTGAAGTGGTAACTTTGAAATTTGAAGAAATCTGCTTTTTTTTTTTCCTTGTACATTTAGATGAGAAAAGATCAGCATCAACTATTTTCATTCTTTGGATTTGTCTGTCTGAAATTCCATGATTGATAATCTGTAAGCTTTTGCTAATGTTGAATCCTGTGTGGGAAGATGAAAAGATTTGGCTTAATTCCACCCCCCATTTCTCTCTCCCCTGAATCTTCATTCCTGCAGTTTTTTTTTTTTTTTTTTTTTTTTTTTTTCTGAACTTTTCTTTTTTTCTAAATGTTTAGGCTCAAAGTTGATTATTTTAGCATTTTGGCATGTACAACATTAACATGTTTCTTGTGATTATTAAGACCTCTTGAAATCTTTCAAGGAAGATTTACAGAGATACCATTCAATTTTTATGTAGATGCATATCTAACATCAATTTTTACATACATATCACCTTACCTATGCATGAAATGGTGTATTGCACTTTTTAAAAGTTAAAATGGTGGTATTTTTGGTGTGATGTGAATGATTTGGTGGTATAAATGTAAAAAAGTAAAGTTTAGATGTTGATATGTAAATACATAGTAGTTAGGTGGTATGTATTTAAATGTGCCATCTTCTAAACATTCTAATAAATTTAGTCTATTTGGCGTGATTGAAATTGATATATGGCAGAGACATGGAGTCCTGAATGCTGTGAGTTGGGGCATTTTGATGCCCATTGGAGCTATCATGGCAAGATATTTGAGGGTGTTTAAGTCTGCAGATCCAGCATGGTTCTACCTTCATGTTGGTTGCCAGATCTCGGCGTATGCGGTAGGGGTTTCTGGATGGGTAATTGGCCTTATGCTTGGGAGTGATTCTAAAGGAATTACATACCACACCCACAGAAACATTGGAATTGCTCTCTTCTGCCTTGCTACCCTCCAGGTATTAGTCTTGTTTCAATTTAATGTGTTAAAGCTTGAAACTGTCTTGAATCAGTGTTTTCGAAGTGTAAATCTCTATGAAATGTGGATTTTCTGGTAAAAAAGCTAAACTTTACACACATTTGTTTGTTTTCTATGCTGTGTTTTTTCTATTTCTGCTTGGTTTTTCTTTCCTGTGCTTTGAAAGCAAAATTGTTTCTGGAGGGGAGTATGAAGTTTGTTTTGAGCCAGCTTAGAAGCTCATGTTTATTAGGAAATAGGTGAAGCCTCCTAATTTAATTATTGAGGATCGAAAAAAGATTTGCTTTCAAAAAATGTAATAGCCAACTCAGCTGCACAATTGTTTCTTCAAACAGTTGTAGTTGCCCCAAACAGGCCTTAAGTCTATACAACATTTTTTTTTCATAGGATAAAAAGTTGGCTCTATGAGTCAACAATGTTTTTACTCTAACACTATTAGATTTCAACATTCTCTTTCAAAAAAAATCTAAATCACAATTTCATAGATTTTTCTGCTAAGTCAGTTGATTGTCCCAAATTCATTCTTAGAAGAGTTTGAAAGATATGCATATGATTAGACTAAATCTTCCTACTAATCATTGTATATGGATCAACTAAGCCGTCATATCTCAGTCTCTTTGACTTTCCATATTCCTTAATCTTCTACTTAAAGGCTCCATTCAAGATTGCTGCATTTTTTTATAAATGCAATTATAAAACTGTTGGCGTGCAAAATAATTTCTCAGAAAACTGTGGTGTGAATTATAAATATTTTTTTTTTTTCAAAAAGTCAAGCCGCAGTTTTCTTATAGCTATCACACTTTACAGATCTAATCACAAAACAAACAGCTTCTCACTGCAAAAATTTCTTAAATGCAACAAAAAAATAATTTTCCAAACAGAACCGTGATGTTGGTCTAAAATGCTAAACAACAAACCTTAAAATTACCTCAAACTTGCATTTTTAGAGTCTCTCTACCTACACATCGACACGGAACTAAACCTTTTTGTTTATGAAATCATAAATCTTAGGTGTTTGCATTATTCCTGAGACCCAACAAAAAGCACAAGCATCGCTTTTACTGGAACATCTACCATCATCTCACAGGCTACGCAGTCATAATACTCAGTGTGATCAACATTTTCAAAGGATTTGATATCTTACAACCTGAGAACAAATGGAAACAAGCTTACATTGCTATCGTTTCAGCTCTTGGAGGCATTGCAGTGATACTTGAAGCCGCCACTTGGGCCATAGTTCTGAACAGGAAGAAGAAATCTGGGAGTTCTGACAAGTTTCAACAGGGTGAGAATGGAGGGAATGGGAATGCTGGTTATGGTAGCAGGTATAATCAGGAAGCTTAGGGTTTGTTTGGGATCAATTTTGTCTTCATTTTTTCTTAATTTGTTTTTTTAGTGTATTTTTTTATATGTTTTTATTTTGGACCACACAATTCTTATGTATTTACATATCTCACCCTTTACTTCATACTTAACCCGCATAGCATTTAAAAAGTGTTAATACTGTTTTTGTTATGTGATACTAATTATTTGCGTGTTGTGTGCTTAAATATGAAAGTTTAGGTATAAGATGTGTATATGGAATTTATGTACCTATCACCCAATTCTTATGTATTAACATATTAATCAACTAAACTTCAATTTCAATTTTTTACATACAAATTATTTTATTTCTATGTTTCAGCACAAATTGGTTGGTCTCTAATTAAAATTGAAGTTTAGGTGATAGGTGGCTTCATTGGTCTGGGGGGATTCAAACCCCAGTCCATAGAAGACTTATACTGCAGAAAGGGATGCTCTACCAACTGAGCTGGGAATGCTGCGCATGGGTCCAACCTAGACCTGATGGGTCGCAAGCTGGGGTTTGTTGGCGGTGTTGCCCGTCAACCATCTTTTAAACTATATATAAATAAACGGCCAATCGCTTTCTATGTCAAGGCTGATGCAGAGATGACGCGCTGCTTTAAGTTGATGTCGAAGTATGGGAGCAGGTGGCTATAAAAAATAATCTAAGCATCTGCTTCGATACTTCTGTGATGATTGATACTTTCCATAAACTAATATTAATTATTTATTTAAAATATAAAGCACTAAAAAATTTAAAAATTTAAAAATTAACTTTGAAAATTATTCAACCTTCATCTTCAACAAACTTATACGTGATACAATCTAGTTAGTGTGGACAAATCTATTGATATTGTCTTTAGATATATAGCACTCAAAATTTTCTCATTTGTATCTTGAAGGCTTAAACTTTAATATTTAATACAAATGTATAAATACCGACGAGTTTCGGAAATTTTGTTTCAGATATTTCTTATTATTTTTTCTTTTGGAAATCAACCCACTTGCCAAAGTGGTTGAACCAGAGCTTAACCGCCGAAATGTATGAATTGGAGCTCACTCGCCAAAGGGGTTGAACTAGAGCTCACCTGTTGAAATGGTTGAATCGAACTCACCTGCTAATCAGATTATGCTTATTTTTCACAAAAGGATAGTCTAGCTCACCTGTGCGAGCACTATTACTGGGAGACTAATAAGAGTATCTGTCAATCCTTTATTAAAAGCTTCGTCTGACACTTGTGACTCAATCCTTTCACCCAGGCATCAGGGATAGACGTTGTACCAACACTTGACACCTAGATCACGGTCTTTCCTTCAAGACATCAGCGAAAAAAATCATACTGTATAAGTTGTACTATGTTGATTTTTTTTATGGCTTTTATTCCCCATGTATAAAAGATGAGGAAAAAGGGGCGGAGGCTTTTCTAGATGCTAAAACAGTGATAGTTTTTATGTGATATGGAAAATTTGGGTGGTATAAAAATAAAAATCAAAGCTAATTAGGTGTTAGATATGTGAATACATAGAACTTGGTTGGTACATATGTAACATATAGAAAATGGGTGGTAAGTATTTAATATATAGACACACTCAATACTAGACTATTCAATATCCATTTAACCTTGATACTTAGAAAAGGCTATCTGGCTCATAGTATATGCATCAACTATGTAAATTCATGATATATTTGTGAATTCATTTGCTTAATTTGATAATATAATCGAGTAATACCTTTTTAAAACTGTATTATATGTAAATCTCAAATAAATATATATTTTTATTTAAATATAAAAAAAGTTTATGATCAATGAATGATTATATGATTCATTTAAATAAGATATCGTTGAGCCGAACAATCTATACATGATTGATAATATTTCCTTTTGCTGTCATGCATGATAATTGAAAATAAAAATGCGAATATTGCTTGTAGCCCTTACATGGTATCCAGAGTAGGAGCAGTAGAATGGACACACCACCGAACTAAGGGAGTCGCTGTATGATCCTCTGAAGCTGTCCGCAAAATCAAACACCTGAAACCAAACAAACATTTCTTACTTTGATAATCGGATCGCAATTCACAAAGGAGACGAGTCCAGGTGCTTAATTAGTCGAGCTCATTTGTTACTTTTCTAGCAGTTTGAAGAAGTCTGGAAGAGTAAGAAGGATCGGAGCGCTGAAAAATGATGGAAGCCGCGGCCAACGCCGCCGCTGTCTCGGCCGCAACATCCGAGCCCGGATTCTGATTTGTCACCTTGTAGGCGTTCCGAGGTGTGTCCATGTCTTCGGGTCTCTCCCAGCAGTGGTGATCCGCGTTTGGGTCAGCCACCTGCGGTACATTATAAGTATACTCGCTACAAACCTATCTCTTAAGGGTCCGTTTGGGGCAGCTTATTTGGTGCGAGGACGTTTTGAAAACGCACCTGATCTGTTTGGGTAAACTGCGTTTTGACAGCTTATGCGTTTTCAAAATGTTTTCACACCGCACCTATCTAGGTGTGGTGAGAATTTTCTGGCAGCGGACTGACTTTTCCAAAAAAATAAAAATTTGTAATAGTCATTGCACCTAATTTATCAGCAGATTATTTTTAATTAGATTATCAACAGATTATTCAATAAACTACAGCTGCCCTAAACATACCCTAAAACTCCATTAAATTCTTAATTGTTTCCTATATTAGACTAAAATTTTTTAATTTGCAAAAAAAAAAAAAACATGAAAAGGAAAAATCATGTAATGTTTGGCTTCAATGATCTTGTAGGACATAAGTTCTTTTGATTTTATTTTTAAATCTGAATAAGTTGGTGTGTTTGATTCTGATCATTCAATGTCTGGATTATTGGCTCATTGCTGTTCAGTTGAATGTAATAACCGGTGAGGCATGCATTTAATTACATCCTTACCGCACAGCTCTTAAATAATTTACATATCTAACCTCTAAACATTCAAATTTATAAGCTTATCACTCAAATCTTCAATATAACATCAAATATGCAACCACTGTTATCTTCTTAAAAGAGGAATACAAATTTTGTTTGTTTCAGCAAGGATTTTTTATAAATGTAAATACCAAACTTTGGGGGTTGGATATGTCAATACATAAAAATTGTGTGATATGTATGTAAATTTGCCAAAATACCATGTTCTCACAATTATGAATTAAATGTAAGAATTTGTGCATTAACAACCATTAGATCCCATTTTAGTCGTTTATTGGGGAAAAAATACGACAGGACTAGCTAATTTAGGGTCCGTTTGGAGCAACTTGTGGTGTTTCAGGATAAGCTGCGCGGCTCGCGGGCGGACCGTAGGGGTCGACCCGCGGCCTGTGTTTAGTATAAAAACTCAAACGCAGTTTCGGATAAGCTGATGAAACGCGCAAATCAAACAATACGGTAGCATTTTGAAAATGCCGTCCGCACTTATAAGCTACCTCAAACGGGCCCTTACCTTCATGATGAAATTTAACGTCTATTTTTATATTATTAATACTTCAAAAGTTATTTATACTATTATAAATATAGATATAATGAAAATATTGAGTAAATAGGTAGAAGCATAACTTCTATTTTTCTTTAGTTTAATTAGCATTTGTAATAAAAAGTATTAAAATGCTTAATATAAAGATTACCAATATAATTATATTTTAATTATCATAAATTCTGTCAAGCATCAATAATCAAATATTTCATGTTAGTCTCATGTCATTAAAAAAAAAAAAAGTTAAGTAGGACTTTGAAAGACAAACAATTTCAGTCATCAGTAAAAAATAAAAATAAATCACAAAATATTTACAAGCATAACATAAAAAATCAAGAAAGCTGACTGTAAATCAGAGGGCAGCTCCTGCTTACAGTGAAAGTTCTGCTATCTCTTTCATAACTTGGGTCTTGTCTGCATCAAATTGCACGTCCTCTGCAAAAAGTGAAATATACCTTACATACATACCACCCAATTATTATGCATTTGCATGTCTAAACGCCTCTATTTCAACTCTCAAAAAGTGAAATAAACCTTATCATGCATAAATAAGATGGCATTATGTAAGAATTGAAATTTTGTGGCTAGATATGTAAATACAGAAGAATTGAGTGGTATTTATCTAAACCCTCCTTATTTATAAGCCGGTATCAGAATTTTTGATCTAAGCTTAACATTTATGCAAATATATTGTAATCTTTACACACAAAAAACAATAAATAAAAAGATGAACTAACCTTTCTCTAACTTGAATTCACCCAGGAGACGAAGAAGCTTGTTTTTGTTAGTCATTAGTATAGTTCCAATCTCAGCTGGTTTGTTTTCGTTAGCAACAAATAACTGCATTGCAGGAAGTGCTAAATAAGAGCAGTAATAATTAATAAATGTGTACATTCATCAGGTAGAGTTTTTAAGGAAATAGTACCTTGAATACATGAAAGGCTTCTTTTTGTATGCTCTTGCTCTCATGCTGAGAATAGAAGTTCATCAAATATAAGGCATTGCAAAAAGCTGTTGGAGAGTAAAAAATTTCTAAAAATAGAAAAAAAGGTTATGTTTTGGACACATTTTGAACAATAATATTAGAATTTGTGGATTTAGTTGGGATGATATTCTTCATGAAATTTTGACATGTAGCGCAATATACGTGGGTGTTGTTACGAACTTGAGTTTGTATTTCACTTATATCATAATAAATTCAATTTTGTGAATTTCAAGGGGGAAAACAAAAACTCACCTACATAATAATTAGTGGAGAAACCATGGAGGTGCTAGGAGGGGCAAGCACCGCCCGATAATACAACAACAAGCTTTTATCCCACTAAGTGGGGTCGGCTACATGAATCCTTTTTCTTCATTGTGTCGTATTGAGTGTTAAATTTTCATTTAATTCTATTATATTAACATCATTTTTTATACAACAAGTCCAATTCTTTCTAGGTCTGAAAATAATATATTTTAAATTTAAAAATTATTTTATATTTATTTTTAAAATTTCTAAATTTAAAATAAAAATATTTGATATAACATCTTTAATCTTTAGAATTTGATCATGATATTTGAAGTTTTATTTGAGATTATGTTAATAGATTGAGCCATCGTTTTTCTTTCCCCATTATATAATTTATTTTCAAAAAGGCCTTAGAATTTTCTTTGAAAATAAATCATGCATATTTTTTTCATATTTTTTTTACAAAGCCACATGAATGTCCTAAATCTAATATTCTTTTAGAGTGAACGTATTACAAACTTAGAAGAAAAAACAATGATAATAAATTTTCATTCATAAATCATGTTAGGTAAAGAATCAAATTCTACATAGAATCAAATTGTGACAAAAAATAAATCATCATAAAAAAGATACTACTATAGTATAGCATCCTTATAAAGTTATATTTTCAAAACTACTTTAGATACATAATTGCAAGAGAAGAAAAATCTATTTAAAGAGCATATTATACAGTTATTGATTCTTAGTTCTACATTAGATCCTTGAGAAGTATACTGAATGAAGGTTTAAAATTGAAGATATTTGTCAACTTATAAATAAATTTTATCTCGTAGCCTTCAACTATACCAAAAAAAAAAACCTTCAAAACTCAACGAAAGCATGTTAAAATTGAAAATCATCAAAATTAAGTTTTCAGCGTCTCTCTATAACTTTTGATTTATGTCAAATTTTAGCTAAGATAATAAAATCAGTAATAAAAGATGAGACATATGGAATATAAAAATAAAAGATGATCTTTTTATAACTTTAATGATAACAAATATTCAAAAGACATCACAATGATTTTCAATGTAGAATCACTACTCGATGATCTTGATACAATGAAAATACGTCGAACACAATTTAAAATGCGTAAGCATAATGACTACATTAAAAGATGTTTTTTTAATTTTATTTATGCTTAGGTATTTGGTTTTTTTTATTTTATTTTTAATTTATGTTAGATATGTAAATACATAAGAATTGTGTGGCATGCATGCAAATTTCGAAACAACAACAACAACAACAACAAAGTCTTAATCCCACTATGTGGTGTCGGCATGCATGCAAATTTAGAAAAAAATAAAAAAAATAAAAACAAGAAAAATAGAACATAAATTTGATAACAATGAAGACTAGAATGCCACTCAAAGCTACCAAATTTTAAAATAATAGCAGAAATAATACTACTCACTCTCCATTTTTGCTTTCGAAATAAACTGCATTAATAAGAAAAAAATATCATACTCTTAGAAGATTCATTGGAAGTATCAAGTTATCCTTTGAGTTGACATATCTTATCATAACTGGAGAATTTGATCGATCCAGCAACATCTCTCCCAAAAGCTGAAATAGCACAGAGTTTTAGGAAAACTTCACAGCAAAGAAGGGATGGAAAACATTTCTACCAATTTTCATTACAATAATACAAGAAATGTAAAGAAGAAATACGACCTTGATAGCTTGTCTGACTGTTACATAGTTGGTAGATGATATCAACTTCTCATTATACTCGGTGAAAAACTGAAACAAAGGGAAGTGGGCGAAAGAAAATTATTACATTAGTGAATAATGTATATTCTTATATTACTGATGAACAAGTATTGTTTGCATAATTACAGAATAATATTAAAAAGAAATTTGAGACATCACTCATAACAAACAATTAATGATTGATCCATTATTGATATACACTCCACTATTCAGATAATGTGTGATATTCAACAAAAATAAAGTTCATCTGAAAAAAACTACATTCGAAATAGAAAATAGTTTGTATTTTATTGAAAAAAAAAATACATATAGAGTAAAGTATCAAAATAGTCCCTTGACTATTTAAATGGGATCATTTTAATCCCAAAGTGTATAAAGTGCTAAATTAGTCCCTGGCTTCTTTTAATGGGGGGCTAAAATGATCCTCACTCGGAACTATTTCAACACATATTAAAAGATCATGGGGACTAAATTGACACTTTTATAAACACCTAGACTCAATGACACCTGCAAAAAGTTAGGGGACACTTTTATATACATACTATTCAGACATAACAAAGCCATAAAAAGGATAAAATTCAAGTAAAGCCTTGAAGATTTGACTATATTCATAAAGAAGCCCAATAAAGATAAAGTGATAGCTCTTATAGTATATTTAGTTGACGCGATCATAGTAGGAGATGATATCTATAAAATAAAAAAGGTGAAAAATCAAATACCAAAAGATTAAAGATCTCAGAAGACTCGCATACTTCCTTGTAAGCTCCCGGATGGGTAAAGGTTAATGTGAACAGTGCACGTCTCCCTTCTGGTATTCCTGGTACTAGGGCGGTTATTCATGATGAATAAGGAAATGGTATTGTGGCTGTGGGCTTTTGTGGAACTACAAGCTATACTTTCCATTCAAAAGATTTATGAACCGTGGATGAGGGACTACAAAGGTATTATTGTGGAAGGAGACAACTCCAACATCATGACGCTCTCGCAAACCACATTGGATAGAAAGCATCAGCGGAATCAACCCAAAACCTCACCTGATTGGCTTTTCTCTCTACTTTCAAACAGATTCTTTTTTTGTCACATACATAGAAAATGCAACAAGGCAGCTCATTTTTGTGCTAAGTTTGCCTTGCAAGATAGTTTTATTTTGAAGCAAATTAGTGAGGGTAGCGATCATTCCTCCGATCTTTCTGAAGATAGAGCCCATTTGTAAATGCATAGCTGCTTTTTGCACTCTTTGTACCTTTTTGACCTTTTAATGAAATTTACCTTCAAGGAAGCTCCTCACCTCTCAATACAAGTACACTATTGATCTACTAAATGAGATGGGTATGATCGTATGATGCCCTCAAAAATTGCAATTAACAAACACCACAAACTTAGTGAGACAAGCGATAGCCCAAAAATTGACAAAAGAAGGTATTATTGTATCAATAAAAGGATTGAGAGCTTATCTATCTTGACCACAAGACCGAACATGATCTATACTATAACCATTCCAAGTCAATTTATTTATGATCTTTTAGAAATGCATCTACAAGCAGTATAAAAAACTCTTCAATATCTGAACACGATACTAGGAAAATATAGTGTAGAAGGCTCCATTTAGAATCATGCAATGATGATGATTTGGTAGAGCCCCTCACATATAGAATGACTACTATTGGTTGTTGTAATTTTAATGTGAAAATATAATCATTTAGAGAAGAAAAAATTATTTGTCCCTAAATCTAGTGTTGAAGTTGAATTCCATGAAATGGCCCAAGGGATAAGTGAACTATTATCGATCAAAATTATCCTGAATTATAGGAATAGATTGAAAATATATCGAGTTATACTGCAAATAAAATCAAACATCAACTTTAAACACAATACAGTCACACATAATTGAATCAATTCCATAGAAATCAATTGACGCTCATTTTTTTTAAAAAAAAAAGTCAACTAATAAACATCACATATGTTCAAACACAATAGTAGGTTGAAATCAAAAGATTGACGAGCTCCAATTTCATAATGTCACCTCCAAGTTAAACATAAAAAATGTCTACACTACAAAGTTGAGTGTGGGCAAGTCTAATAGCCAACTTGGAAATCCCAAGGTAGCCACCCATCTTGCCATCTATCATTGGCAATTCATGAGCCTCAAGGGGTGGAAATACTTCTCATATTTTCAGTAAAATAAATATATAAAATATCTTCCTTTATTTTCAATAAAATTAATAGTTTCCGTAGGTAAAAATTACTGGTTGTAATCTAGAATCTTGTTGTATGAATGGAGGGATAGAACCCCCTACAAAATACACGCAAAACTCAAAATCATTTCTACTCTCATCATCTTTTAAATCAATTCATTTCATATCTTAATTATTATTGAAATGATGTTTGGTACTTCAATAAAAATAAATTACAGGCATTCATATACTTTATCTATACTACCATAAAATAATGCATAATGTTCAACTAAAATAAAACCTTCTTAAGAAAAGTCATAGGTGCTTATTAATTTATTAAGGGCCCTACTTAAAATAGCAATTGAGTTAGTGATTATGCAAATAATATTATTTTAATCATACAGAGTAGATCCCTTCAGCCACATAATTGTGCGCTGCAATGCAAAAATTCTGTAATACCAAGAGCAGCATTTAATTGTTACAATGGAAAGATCAAACTACCAAGACCATATTTAAATAAGCTCAGTCAACAATTCACTTGATTGCCATACGAACCTCAGAAATTCAGAAGCTTAATTAAAAAATACAGCAGAAATCTCAGAAAAATTGAATGAAATCTTCAATTGTGCATTCGCTAATTTGCACTTTGATAAAATACTTCAACAAACATTTTTTATTTAAATATATAAGAATACTGCATGTGTTTAAAAAGTCTAAAAATTAATATTTCAAGAAAAAGTTCTCAAAGAGCAAAACAAAAAAATACTAATTAGATGTTGCGAGAAATTTTAGATGATTAAAGAATGGCATTGCAAGTTGGAATTACATTTTAAATTTATATCATATTGCAAATAATTACTAAACTAAGTTATTTAACTCATCACATTACTTTCTAGTTTAGGAGTTGACCTTACTTTGAAAATGCATCAGGATAATCTTCGATATTATTGCATAGAAGATAAAAGAGGACTAATTGACTCAAAAGTGATAACATACCCAATCATAATTTTTACAAAGATATTCAGCTACAGTTGATTTATGCCTTGTCATGAGCTCCTGCAGGTCAACGTAAATCATTATCCAGTAAAGTTAATGATATTCAGAATTATGGCATTACTTTCATAAATCAAAGTCACTGTCTCCAGAGTTCTGTCAGAAAAATCTAATATAGACAGATTTCTTTTAAGTTAATCTAACAATCTATTCAAAAAATAAGCAATTTATTCAAAAAAAGAAAAACGCATACATTTACAAGAAAAGCATATTTAGCAATGAAATCATGAAATAGTCAAAGGCAGTATTAACTTACTAAAAAGAAAGAATACATATATTTCAATATTGCCAAATGGTATTGTTTCGTAGAGCAATCATTGATGCATTTTTGCAAACATAGAAGGCTCAACTGATGTATCAAATCAATGCAGAGTTTTTATTGTAATGACAAAATAACATTGAAAATGAGGCCCACATGTACTAAATGAACCATGCCTAAGAGGGCTCTAATTATTACAGAGCCATTAAAAGAAGTTTCAATCCATGATGACTTGCCAAATCAAATTAGATGTCATCATCATCATTAGTGGGAAACCCCCCACGTAAAATGAAGTGAACTCTTAAACATCGAGGCACATTTTGGTGTAATGGATCGAGTTCTGATAGAAAGCGTAAAGTTGAGCTTGCTTGCATAAGAGCAATGGGTGACCTCTTGAGGAGTTACACTGATAGGTTAGAACCATGAGGTGATTAGGCCAAAGCGAACAATATCTAAATAGGTGAGAGTTCGGGTTGTACAAATGGTATCAGAGCATTGCACCAATATGAAAATGGGAATTAAGAGTGCTATACAGAACAAAACGCTATGCCATGGGAGACATCTCTTGAACCTAAAGATGAAACAAAGCTAATGAATGATTCTGGATTAAGAAAACTAATGAGGATATTAGTTATTTAAGTGGGGGAGATTGTGAAACCACTTAAGTAGAATGAAGTTGAACTCTTAAACACCGAAACGTCCTTTGGTGTAAAGTTTAGAATTTCGATAGAAACTCCAAAGCTAAGCATGCTAGCATGAGAGCACTCCTATGATGGGTTACCCCTTGGAAGTTACACCAATGACGCAAAACCGTGAGGCCATTAGGCCAAAGCGAAAAAAATCTATATGGGTGACAGTTCGAGCTGTTGCAATTAGCCTTATCCCAACTATTTGGGATCAACTTCATGAATTTGTATTCTTCATCCGTTCCTGCTAAGTCTTGATAAGGAATTAGATATCTTCTTTGTAAATCATTATGAACAACTTTATCCATATAATCTAAAATCTATCACTTCTCCTTCGTAATGCTCTGAAACTAATAAGTTTCTCATATATAAAAAAATAGTCAAATCTGCTTTGTATTGATTGGCTAAACAGTCCATAGAATTAAAGGTAGAATTAAAATTCATTTTGCAGATTACATCTTAGTATACGCCCACTTAACCACTTGTGTTACATTTATACTAAAAGTAAACATAACTCAGAATCAGCCTCAGCACCGGATTTCACCTACATCAGGACAAAGAAAACTAATTGCCAAATAATCATCACTGCACCTTAGTTCTCTTAGCATCTCAAATAATCAAAACAACCTTCCATTTTGAAATCTTCAACAAAACATAAGCGCTGTCTATTTGTGAATATGCTATCAGTATATCGTACAAACCACATTATGCAATGGAATTATTGCTCAACTTCTTAGCTCTCTGTGGTGAAAAAGATTTGTGAAGTTTGATTTTTTTTTCTTCCATCGGGAAAGCCACACCACAAAATCAATAATTCACAAATTATTGAAATTGATCCAAGATCTGATTATAGGAGATATAGTTGAAAATCTTAAAACCCTAAATCCTTTATCAATTCTTTAGTTCTACTTCATCTATGATGATTGAGCCTCTTTTGATGTCCAACAAATCCTATAATAGCTGAAAATCCACACAGTAACACCTTCCTTAGCAACACAACTTCTTTTTGTTAACATTTATGATTATATTCTTAGCATGTCGCACTCTTTGCCTTGAATTTAGGTGGTTTTTGGTAAGCAATTTTAACAAGGATTTATGTTGGGATTTAACGTAAATCCGTCAAGCACAAAAAATAGATGTTAAATCCCACCGTTTCGTTAAATCAAATATTTCATCCGTTTTGATGTAAATTTATTTACTAAATCTAATTATTCGATGGATTTAACAGATTTAAGTGAGAAAGAAAACACACCTACCGGTTGTTGCTTCTCTCATCACCAAACACTTCAAAGAGATTTGCCAACATAAATCCCATCTATGTTAAATCTTGGGTGTAGCCAAACACCCCCTTAATTTCTTGTGAATCAGGTGCATGGTTACTTAGTTACTTATGATTGCCTCTTCCAAGAAATTGTGGCTTTATAATATGATTGATGCCTGATTGTTTCCCCATTATCCATTTTCAATTTTATTTTTGGTGTCCTTGCAAATTTTCATTATGGAAAAATGCTATGATAAAGAAGATAGGGAATGGACTATGCTAATTTTTTTCTCTTACGAGATTTTTAATGTTTATTGGATGGTTTGAGATATGCAAAATGCCGATTTATGGTTTTTTCATTTTATGTAAGTAGCTTTGTCTTTTGTGTACGCCTTTTATTTGGATGATTTCTAATGAACCGTCAGATGTATGCAGTGATTCTGGTAGGCCTTTGGGCTTTGGCTTATATTTTATGTTCAAGTGAGCATACTCAATATGTACACTTTAACTGTGGCTAGGGGTTTTGAGCCAAAGTTTAGGTTATTCAGCATTTGATGATGACGTTGAAAAATTAAATAAAGTTCAAGGCATATAATGATATTAACCGTTAAATTGGAGTGCAACTTTTTGATCTGTATAAGCATAAAGTTTCTTCTTTCTGAGCATTTTCATCGAATCATATCCTTTTTGGGGTACATTTTATGCTATCTATCAAATATAAAGACTTGAAGTTATGAAGACGTCAACAACTTGTTTGCTGCTATTTTTTTAGCATCTTCATTCCATAGATGTCTCTTATAGTCATTGATTTTTAATGCGTTCGTTATATCTATTTCAGTGTTTATAACTATAAGCAACTCCTTCGACATTGTTTGCAGGAATACAAGTTTTAAACTTTTGGTTATTATTGTAAATTAAATATGACTTTGAAAATTAGTCTTTACATATAATATGATTTATTGCAATGAAATTCCCACAATTCATTTCAATTAAAGGCGTTATAATTTGTTGACTTCTATGCATTATGTAAATTTTTAAAATTTGAAGATCTTAGACTAAGATCATATATTTTATATTCTTTAACATTGTTGCCATGCAAGCTAAATTGCTACGCTCCACAATCTGCCACAAATCTCCTTGTCACTCCTTGTTCTATCAATCTGTCCATCAATCCAAGTAGACATCTTCCAGATTCCCAATTTCGTAAAAATGAGAGGCAACTATTTTTCTTTTTCACATAAATATCATGAAACAAATCCAAAATAAAAAATAAAAAATCTTTGAATGTATCATAATCTTGTGATGCTTTGTCCGCATCTATAGTTCACAGTTCATAGAAAATAAATAAATAAATTTTTTTTATGATACCTTCATAGTTTGAAAAACAAGTATTAGCATTGATAAAGAGAATACGCCATGGGGAAATTGTGCCAAGAGAAAAAGATGTAATATGTATACCCTGAAAGTTACAAACACATCCGATGATATGTCAAAATTTGGAATTTGTAGATAGTCAAAAAACTTTTTCATGCTCTCAGACTCCAAAACAGACCTGCAAAGAATAAACTAAAAGCTAAAATAGAGATTTCAAAAAAGAAAATATAAAGTTAGTGAAAATCAAAATTCAAAAATATTTAGCGAACGTAATATTCAGCCGATTCAAATCATTTCAGATGTGTAGACAAGTTGGGACATGTCCGCGCACAACTCCTTTCACCTCCTTTAAAATTTAAAAATTCATAATGATGATCAATAGTGTTATTGTCGGCTTTGTGTGTATGTGTGAGTGTGTGTGGACAATAACCCTCAAATATATTCCTTATAATGGCGTCCCTAAGCTCCTCTAATAAAATGTTATGGCTCTATCCTTCTATCCTTTAAAGGAACATGAAGTTAGAATAGGAAATATAGAAATAATCTCATAGTAAGAATGCAATAAGGAACAATTGACCTAACATACATACAATATCAAGCAATAATTAACAAAGTCCTTGTTCATATGGAAAAGAAGATCAAGCACATGAATCACCTAATAAGTAATGCATTTACAACCTCACAAAACGGTTATCACTGTCACTCATAAAAAATTAAGAAAGAAAAACATTATATCAACACAATTATCATTAATTCATAGAGTAGAAACCCACAAAACTCGCATACATGATGAAGTTGAAAATGAATAAAAAAGGATCAATATGAAGCAAAATAATGAACATCCTGCAATTCAACATCCAATTGTGTTTAATACAATTAAGCTACTGAAAACCCGAAAATTTCCAGTCAACTAATGTTATTATACCTTGCAATACATTGATGTCTTATGCACTCCCTCAACATGGCGCCATAGTGCAAGGCAATGTCCATATTCTCATATCTGCAGATAAAATGAAAAGAGTGAAGGCAATATAAATTATTCAAGACAATCAAATCAATAAAAACAGGCCTTTAATTATTGTTTTAACAGGTTCAATCTCATGAAGTACTCAACATGGCTAAAAGACGAGAAGAATAAACCCGGATCTATAACTCAACAAGGCTAAAACTGGCCTTTAATTATTGTTTTAAAATGGCCTTGAATTCATTTCTCTCATAGTTGACAAAACTTGTGAGGTTTCCAGTATGTATCAGCTGGAACGAAAAGGAAAAAAAAACAAGAACAAAAAGAAGACAAGAAGAATAAACCCGGATCTATAACTCTCTATTCATATTCCAGAGAATACACAGATGCATCTACAGTAGCAGAAAACAAGCAATTTATACACATATTAGATAGTTCTAGAAATATTTAGTGATAAAGGCTAAGCTGTAATAAATGATTGCTAGTTAGGGTATTATTCTTATCATCCCCCGCATACTGATATTGAAAGGACAGATAGTCAGCCTTGTTGTAAGGACATTTACTGGTGTACAAGTATGACGATCAGAATTTAGAAATGGTAAACGATGTCACTTTGTTGTAATACATGAAAAAAAAGGGAGTTTGTTGGAAAAATGCAAAAAAGTTGTTTGGCTGTGGTAGCCATCGTTTGTTGAATTGTATAACCCAAACAATGATGCCATACCTCAGCATCAGCTTTGAAAGAGCAGAGAACACATTTGGAGGAGGAATGTGATAGAGCCCATTACAGCAAAGTTCTTGGGGGACTTGCTGTGTTGTTTGATCCTTAACGGTGTAACCAAAGGCATCAAACAGAACAATTTAATTATTGTCAGAGGCGAGTTGAGAGATAAAAACAAAATTGTGGAAAATATGATGCCAGACCTCAACATTGGCTTTGAAGGAGCAGAGAGCATCTTTGGAGGAAATGGGATAAAGCCCATTATAGTATGGTTCTTGGAGAAAGACTTGGTGGGTTGCCCGATCCATAATGGTGGAACCAAAGGCATCAAACAAAAGGATATAATTATTGCCAGAGGCTAATTGAGAGATGGAAACAAGAATGTGAAAAATATGAGTGTGTATAAAATTAGAGAGGTTTAGCTTACGAATTAGTGATGGCAGCAAACCTTGTCAGGAGTGTTGAATGGAAACTGAGGTATCATTTCCCATGAAGACTCAATCATTTCCCTGATTGTCTTCTGGTAGTTGAAGGTTGTTTAAGTCAGTTGTTAAGTGGTGGAGGCTCTTGTATCAAGATAACAATCGTTGTTTGAGGGCGTGGATTATGCGAGGAGGGTTGTACTCTAATTTATAGGTTGCAGCTTATTGGATTAATAGTTGAGACTAAGTATATGCCAACAATGAATGGCTATCTGCCCGGGTTTAATGCATATTTGGCAATGGACTGTCGTGTTGGTTTTGGATTGACAGGATGAGGGAGTGTCGGATGGTCATTGAGAGGTGGTGCTAGAGAATCTACTATGATGCCTATTAAACTGGGGTTTGCCGCGTGTTTGATTGGAGTATAGAGCAATTTGAAAATCTAAATAGTTGGATTTGGTAAGGATGTCTCGGGATATATTGATTTCTTTGCTATAAAGGAGAGAATACAACTCCACAAGGCTGATGGGAGTGGATCTAGTTTAGATAGTGGTTTTAAAGGCTTGGTAGTAGAAGGTAGGCCTTTAATAGTGTATAAGATGATGTCCTCTATGTCTATGTAGGAACCGACAACCAAAATAATGTCTACCAATGTTTTGATATGGGTGAGATATTCTGTCATAGTGCGAGACTTAATAGATACATTGTAAAGTTTGTTCTTGAGTTGAATCACCTTTGATAGGTTGGTGGCTTGAAATCTCCTTTCCAAGGTAATCCAGATCTCAAAGCAGGTGTTGAGATTAAGAATGCGAGGAAGAGTTGTCGCATAAATTATGGAAAATGGCTATAAAAAGATTATGGTAGATCATTTGCAAGTCAAGGAATTGATCCATCCAAGAACCATCGAATCTATTCGCCTCGATTAGTTTGAATATTTGAAAGCTCCATAGTAGATAATTGTCTTTTGTGAAAGAAATGTTGGTTATAGCCTCGACAATAGACATAAGGAATTTGAAGGATTTGAGGGAAGCAGGGATTGTGGGTTCCTGGCGAGAACAGTGTTCGGGGAGGAGGTAGCTAATTCATCCATCGAGAGGAAGGAGAATGGTATGAGGAGAATCATAGATGCAATATTTTTACGTTTCTAATACCATGACAGAACCCGTAGGTTTCCTTTATGCATCAGGTGGATCGAAAAGGTTGTCTAAGTCGATTGTTAAGTGAGTGGAGGCTCATGTATCAGATATCAATCATTATTTCATGGGATGAACGATGTGAGGAGGCCTGTATTATGATTTGTAGGTTGCGGATTATTGGATTGATAGTTGGGATTAATTCTATTTCAGCATTGAATGGCTATGTATCAAGGTTTAATGCAGATTTGGCATTTGACTATGTTGTTGGTTTTGGATTGACAGGATGAGGGAGTGTCAGATGGTCGTCGAGAGGTGGTGCTAGAGAATTTGACATGAACCTTACTAAACTAAGGTTTGCCATGTGAGTGATTGGAATATAGAGCAATTTGAAATTTTGAATTATTGGATTCAGTGAGGATGTCTTGCAATATAATGATTTCTTTGCTATGAAGTACATAATACAGCTCCTTAAGGTTGATGGGAGTGGATCTAGCTCAGCTTCTGCGTTTCAGGATAAGCAGCGTATCCTGAAACGCGGCCCGCGGGTTGACCGTGGGGGTCGACCCGCGATTTGCGTTTTGTGTAAAAAACCCAAATGCGACATGCAGTGTTTTCAAAAACGCGCAAACCAAACGTTTTCAAAAACACTGCCGCACTTATAAGTTGCCCCGTAAAAAACTCAAATGCAACATGCAGTGTTTTAAAAAACGCGCAAACCAAACGTTTAGACAGTGTTTTCAAAAACACTGCCGCACTTATAAGTTGCCCCAAATGGGCCCTTAATAGGAAGGGATACACCTTCAAGAGTGTACAAGATGACGTCCTCTATTTCTATGCAGGAACTACTAGCAGAAATAATATCAACTAATGTTTTGTTATGGGTGAGATAGTTTCATATTGTGAAACTTCATAAATACATTATTTCAAATCTATTCCTTGAATTGAATACCTTTGATATGTTAGTGGATTGAAATTTTCTTTCCAGGCAATCCAAATCTCAGAACAGGTGTCGAGAATAAGAATGTGAGGAAGAATTATAACATAAATTGTGGAGAATAAGGTTGCGCCAAGATTCTGGTCGATCACTGCCCAAGTGAAATAGGCAGGATTGGAGTTAGGATTCTCGCCTACATCCATGAGGGTTCTTGCAATTTGGGGAATTGATCCATCCAAGGAACCCTTGAATTCATTCACCCTAATTAATTTGAAGATTTGAGAGCGTCAGCGTGGATAGTTGTCTGTTGTGAGGCAAATGTTGGTTATAGTCTTGACATTAGCCATAAGGAATTAGAGGCATTTGAGGAAAGCGGGGACTGTGGGTTCCTCGAATATGAGGGAGGCAAGGGCAGCATTCAAGGAGGAGATAGTTGATTCGTCCATCGATGGGAAGGAGAATGATGAGAGGATCGGTATATGCAGTATTATTATGTCTCTGATACCATCACAAAACTCACGAGGTTTCCTGCAAGTGGAACAAGAAGGAAAAACATGAAAAATGAAAATACGGAAAGAAGAGTAAACCCAGATCTGTAACTCTCTATTCACAATCCAAAGAATACACACATCTATAGTAGCAGAAAACAACGTATTTATACAAATATTAGATAGTTCTTGAAATAGTTAATTATAAGGCCTAGTTTGTAATAAATGGTTGTTAGTGGGGGTATTATTCTTATCAATAATATCATGTAATTTCTTTTTTTTTCTTTTTTCTTTTTCTTGTGTTCAAAAGAAAGCATAAAGTGTTAATGCTCACCCTGATATTAAAATATCCAAAAGATCTTTGTTTTCTTCCAAATAATCAGAAGCAATGAATCGAGAGTGAACTTGCTGCCTTTGCAAATTTGCAATTACTTGAGTAGCATCTTTTCGAACCTACACAAAATCCAAATAAGAAACAACTTCAATGATAAACAAACAATAACAGATGCAAAGAAAAATCAGCAAATACACTAATTCCAACACTTAAAATTAAAAAAACACAATTATTTTGTTAAAACCATTGAAATTTAGTAGAAAAATACAGTGCAACTAAATCATGATGAATAATATCTTGCCAAACCGTCCTTTGAAACTAACAGTTAAGCATTAGCAGTCCCATATTAGGGGAAAAAATAAAGTTTTACGTACATACAACACAATTCTTATGTAGTTACATGTCTAACGCCTAAGCTTTAATTTTTACATACATACCACTTTACCCATGCTTGAAAAGGTGTATTTCACTTTTTAAAAGTTAAAATGGTGGTATTTTTTATGTGATGTGAAAGATTTGGGTGATATAAATTTAAGAAAGTAAAGTTTATATGTTAGATATGTAAATACATTGGAATTGGGTAGTATGTATGTAAATGGATCCCAGAAAAAAGGATATGAATGTACCTCGAGATTCAATTTTGGAAGGCAAGTTATGATTAGACGCAGTGTGTTTTCTCTGAAAAACTCTTGAGTCAATTGTGCACAAGCATCGGGCACTGGTTCAGCTTCACTATTCCCGTATAAAACATATTTCAACTCTCGAATAGCTTTACTCAGTTCAGCCATCTGCAAGAAATAAGTATAGCGTTATTAATGACACTAATAATCATAATGACCAACAATGTAGAAATGCAGGTGGATTGATATTAAACTCTTTAAAAAAAGGAAATTTACATACCTACAACTCAATTCATATGCATTTACAAATAAAACATCTACACTTCAATGTTTACATATATGTAGCACTTATGCATAAAAATGTGCATTTATCTTTTTAAAAGTTAAATTGGTGATTTTTTTTGTGTGATGTGAACCACCACCACAAAAAAAAAAAATAAGGTTAATCTCAACATATAAAGTGTATACATATCTAACACCCAAAATATGATATTTACACTTATAACAACTTGGACCTTGGTTTCATAAAAATATACATTCTTTTAAGAGATTGTGACCGATGGCGGTATTTTTTATATGATTTTAAAGATTTGAGTGGCATGCATGTAAATATGAATGCTTACATTTTAGATATGTAAATGCATAAGAATTTTGTGGTATTTATATAAATGCCCCTATAGTTTAATCCAGCATCTAAAATATGCAAAGGCAAATACTCAAAGATGAGCAACCAATGCCCTTTAGTACAAACAAGAGAGAAAGTTTGTGTTTAATTCCATTATTAAACACCAAAAATTTTGAAGCAGAAGGCTGAAAATTAGAAATTGGTATTTGATAATCTAACAAAAAAAAAACCTGCAAAAACTGACGCATGCAATCCATTTTTTTAAATGGCAAAAATTATAACATATTAAAAAGAACTAAAGAGCATGCAAGTCAACAAAAGAACACTTGAATTCACAAGGCTGGCAATCATAATTCAGCAACATGCGAATGAAATATATTGGACAAGAAATAGCGCCACAGTTATCCCAAGGCAGAAAATGTATAGCATTGAAGAAATCATCCTTTGGACACATTTCCACCCAAATATCATATAACTTCAGAATCAAATTCGGATCACCAACCAACACAGCATTACCACATAAGAAATTTCAAAAATACTTCATCCTCTATCATCCAAATGACAATGTGTTGATACATTTATCAATTCATCCGCATTCAATAATCCGAAACCTCAAAACAGCATAGTTCTTAATCTACCTCTCCTCGACTAAAATCCTAGCAGGTTCACCCTTCCCAGACCAAAAAAAGTAAAACAGAAGCCTACCTTAACATAAAACCTTGCAAAAAACCCAAAAACAAACAATATTATAACGGAACTACAGATAGCAGGGATCAATAGAAATAGAAGAGAAATCATACCTTCTCCTCGCGCTTGCTCTCCCGCAGATTCGAATTGCCATCAATGAAAATGAGGAGATCGCGAGTATGCCTCACAAGCTCGGTCGGCGTCCTCGTCTTGGGCTTGAAAAGCGCCTTCATCCTCTCTTCTGCCGCTTAGAAATTTCTCCCCAGCCGTAACAGAGGCAAGGCTTCAGGCGAGAACTAGAAGCGCTCAGATCAGCCGTCGGCCGCGGAGGTTACAGCCGGAGAAGAAGAGGGTACGAGCGTAGATTTCTCTTCGGGGCGAACCATAATAACGGGCGGCCATCGATTAGAAGCGCCGAAAGTGAGAGAAATGAACGAGATTGTGAGGCGGACAGAGGTAGCCGAAAGATGGACGCAGATGCGTTATGCGCTGTTGGAAAGTTTGTTTTCTTCTGTTTTTTTGTCTAAATGCTGAAATATGTAGTTATAATGACACGTGACTTTTCTAACATGCAATGAATGCGAAATAAGACTAAATATCCTCATTATATACACACACCTTTTTAGAAATATTCTCCAATAATTATTTTAAATTAAAATCTTCTTGTTATTACAGAAATATAATTCAAAAAAGATGTTAACATAATTGTTGAGCGTGTAGTCTCTCATTTTGAGATTACGTATTTGAATCACACATATTATTCTTTAGGCTCAATTTTTTCAAAAATTTAAAAAGAAATAAACTTTAAAATTTTAAGTAAATCGAAGATAAGAAGATTATTATCAGCGTCGATATGTTATCTTTCTTATCATTTCTTCAATTATCCTAAAATGCAGTTATGTAGTGCTCTGATTCGTCGAATATTATTGATGATTATTGATTATAAGAATGATGATTGTTTCAATGCGTTAACCAATGGGCACTTCTAAAGTCCGCAAAGAAAGATGCATCTGAAAGTTGTGATTGTGCTTCTTTATAAATGTTTTCCTTGTCAATTATGATAAACTCATTGCAATCTTCAGACAATTGGATTAGTTTAAGAGAATCATGACTTTGAATAACTCCGTCTCTTTCTACACTTCGACGCATGCCTTATATGAGACAATGAATTTTGATTAATAAATGCTTTGCTATGCTACTTGATTTATCAAAACTATTTGATATAATGCAAGGATTGTTTCCTTCAAATCTCCTCTTTGGTTGAGAGTAGCCACCATGGATGATATCGTTGGATCTATAGTAATATATATCTCTTGATATTTGACAAAAAGTTATAGAAATTAATATCATATATAGTATGAAGTGTGTATTCTGCAATATTATTAATGAAGTGTAAAAAATAAAACATATTAGTCATATAACTATAAAGATATATATCTTGATATTTGACCTAAAATTATACATATTAATGTCATATATAGTATGAAGTGTGTATTCTGCAATATTGTTAATGAAGTTTAAAAAATAAAACATATTAGTCATATAACTATAAAGAAAATTTATTTAGAAGCTACACCAAATCTATATGATTCTATGGAAATCACCTATACATATACTTATGTCATTATATAAATGCATCCTATTTTAAATATTAATATTTTAATTTATTTGTATTCAAATCCACCATGACATAGTTGTTATAATTGCTATCTAATGTGTATGGTTGCTAGATTATCTCTACGTGATATGATTATTGGATTAAATTTTGTGATGGTATAGCTATTACTTTGCACCTAATTCAAATCATATTTGAACTTTATTCAAATCAAGATCAAATTTTGCTGAAACTTTGTGAAGATTCTTACCGATAGTTATAGCCATCAATTACGACTTTCTTAGCCAATTATAGTTTTTTTAGCTCTGTTATGCCTGTTGTAGGCAAACTAATATATAGAACTCTAATTGTCAATTTTTATAATTTCATCTTCTCTGACTCATGAAAAAGTATTATTTGTACTTACAAATTTCTAGTGAATTACTTTAACTTAAGCCAAACACACTGATCTTATCCCTTTCCAAGGTTTTTCAGCATAAAAAGTTTGATTGTCCCCAACACCTCAATCTTTATGTGCGCTAAAAAATTATTACCAATTATGACATCAAATTTCTATAATGTTGAGAATTTTCTAGTAGGCTGAGAAGAAATCTACTCCACCACATAGATTAAAAGATGAAAAACACAGTGAACAAACATGCTTTGCATGTAGAATATCATATAAATAAATTAATTAGCTAAAATATTAAATATGAAATTAATGCTTGGAGTAGATTCCCTTACTTTTTAGGGGATATATGGTAACATACTTTTAATAGAATCAAGCAATGAATTTAATATAAATCCAATCAAATACCAAACAAATGAAATTTAAATCCCTTGCTCCATTAAACATCTTCTTTCGTTACATCTCTTTTTAGATGTAAATCCGAATTTACTAAATCTGATTCATAGGAAGATTTAAATGATTTACTCCATCATGGTCCGCGACAGTCTTATCCGTCAAATATGAATTTAATAAATATAAAATAATCAAATTTACTATATTTTATTTTAACATAAATTCGGGATACAACTAAACACCTCCTTAATATTCTTAAAGACAATTTAGTGGTTCATATTCTCTCTATTTTTTAGATTTACTTGTCGAAAAAATATTCTATCCTAAATCAATCGTTGAGTTGTATGACGATGTGACGTGATGCAGTAATGCGACATAATATTTTGTGGTGCGGGCCACACCGCACTATCATACAGAATATTTTGTGGTGCGGGCCACACCGCACTATCATATTCCGCACGTCTGGGCTTGATTTTTCTCCCGCTAAATCTATTTATATAGATTCGCATTTCTCTTGTGACCATGGGGCAATAGGTTGGACTTCCTACGCCCTCTCAGAGCTCGTTGCTTCCCAGCAACTTATGTAATTGACGTTCCGTGGATGCCATCTCGAATCCTTTCATTAAACTTTTGTGGATCTTCTCTAGTTAAAATTCTTAAATTTAAGACAGCCAAGTTCTCAATTCTCTCCCACCCTATCATCTCCCTCCTAGAAAGATGCCAAACACTTGCTCAACTGAAGCAAATCCAAACCCAGATGGTTCTTTCTGGCTTGATTTCAGATTCTCTTGCTGCCAGCCGACTCGTTGCCTTCTGCACCATCTCCGACTCGGCCGACCTGGATTACGGTAGCTTGCTACTGCTCAATCTCAAGAACCCAAATACCTTCTCATGGAATGTTGCAATTCGTGGCTATTCTGATAGCGCTCGTCCAAAAGAATCGATTTTTTTATACAAAAGGTTACTTCGATCGACTGCTCAGCCGGATTACTTCACGTTTCCTTTTCTGTTCAAGGCATGCAGTAAAATTCCGGACTTTGGAACTGGCATTCTAGTTTTCGGGCACGCTCTGCAGCTGGGGCTGTGTGCGGAGGTGTTTGTGTTCAATTCGTTGATGCGTTTATTTGTAGTTTGTGGTACTTTAGCTGATGCACGCAAGTTGTTCGATGAAAGTTGTGTTAGAGATCTGGTTTCTTGGAACACTTTAATAAATGGCTTTGTTCAAAGAGGGAAACCAAGAGAAGCATTGGATCTGGTTAAAGAAATGGAGGAAGAAGGGATTTTTCCAGATACTGTCACTATGCTTGGGGCAATTTCAAGCTGTGCTCAACTCCAAGCTCTGGAACTGGGAAGCAAATTTCATCATTTTTTGGTTGAGAATGGGTTGGATTTCACCGTGACTTTAAACAATGCTCTCATTGATATGTATATGAAATGTGGGAGTTTAGAGCTAGCACGCACTTTATTTGATGCAATGAAGAGGAAAACCATGGCCTCATGGACCACGATGATCACGGGCTATGCCAAATTTGGTTTTTTAGATGTTTCAAGGAGACTGTTTGATGAAATGCCAGACAAAGACATCATTCCATGGAATGCTTTGCTTGCTGGTTATGTCCAAAGCAGACGTGCTAAAGACGCGGTAGCATTGTTTCATGAGTTGCAAGCTTCAACCATAGAACCTGATGAGATTACCATGGTCAGCCTTCTATCTGCATGTTCTCATCTTGGGGCCTTGGAAATGGGGATTTGGGCTCATCAATACATTCAAAAACGCAAATTTAGCTTAAATGTAGCCTTGGGGACTGCTTTGGTAGATATGTATGCGAAGTGTGGCAACATTGAGAAGTCTTCCTATGTCTTCAGAGAGATGGCTGATAAAAATGCTCTAACTTGGACAGCAATGATCTGTGGCTTGGCAAATCATGGGCATGCCTCAGAAGCCATAAGACATTTCCAAAAAATGATGGAGATTGGACTTCATCCTGATGAGATTACCTTTATAGGAGCTCTCTCTGCCTGCTGCCATGGCGGTTTGCTTCATGAGGGTCGGATGTTCTTTTCTCTCATGACTTCAGTTTATAAGCTGAAACCGACTCTTAAGCACTATTCATGCATGGTGGATCTTTTGGGTAGAGCTGGACTGTTGCATGAAGCAGAAGAAATGGTGAAGAGTATGCCTATTGTAGCTGATGGCTTTGTATGGGGTGCTCTATTCTTTGCATGTAGACTTCATAGGAATGTTGCTATGGGGGTGAGGGCTGCAACAAGATTGCTAGAGCTGGATCCAAGTGATAGTGGCATCTATGTTTCACTTGCAAACTTGTTTGCTCAAGAAAACATGAGGGATGAGGCTGATGAAGTTTGGGCTTTAATGAAGGAGAGGGGTGTGGAGAAGACCCCTGGTTGTAGTTCCATTGAGGTCAATGGGGTTGTTTATGAGTTCATAGTGAGAGACACTTCTCATCCTGCATACGAAGAGATTTATACATGTTTAAAGCTTATCTACGAGCAAATGAAGCACTTTGAAAGTTGTTCTCTGTTCTTTTGATGACACAAGGTGAAAATGTTTGTTTAAATTGAGCTTAATTAGAAAATTCAACGTGCAAAAAGTTGTTTTGTGTAATGGGAACAGGTTTGATGCTTTATGGAAGAACTGGAAGCAAGATGTGAAAGGCTTTGGACCAATGGTGGCTGTTGTGCAAAATTAAATTGCAGAATTGTTCCTTTGTGTAAATTTCATGAAAGCGATTCTATAAAGGTGAGCTGAAAACAAGATATATTGATGCTTTAACTCAATGGTGGCAGATGAAGCACCATGTTATCAGCAGTCTGTGAAGAATGAATTACAAAGGTGAAGAAGGTTTGAATTTCGAATAAGATGTTGTTTTCCATGAGAAAATGACTTGAAATTTCTCTAATCTAATATTGTTTCCATTTGCAGAGTTCTAAATCCAACAGGAAGACTTCTGATTTGATGAGTCATCTTATGGGTTTGATTCATGTTTGCTGAAAGATTGTACTCATTTGGTAAAACCACCTGTTATAATATCTATTTTTTGATCCATGAATTTAGTTTTAGCTTGAACAAATAAGTTATTTTCATTATATTTTCTAATTATTTTCTTGGAGGAATATGATAAACAAATGCTTCCCTTTAAATATCTAATCCAATTGAAATACCACATAATTCTTATGTATTTACATATCTAACACCTAAATTTTCATATTTACATGTATTTACATACATAAGAATTGTGTGGTATGTATTTGAATATCCCTTAAACTATATAAATGGGTGGACCATTCTCATTTCAATAATTAATTAGATATGCAAGGATGTATCAAAGGTCATAGTTTTTAAGATGATGCTTGATGCGGAAAATCGGAAAAATTGATATTAAATTAATAATAATGATGCAATGTAACCCAAACAATAATGTAACTTTAATGAAAATGACTTATCTTTAAAACCTCTTTTAAAGTCCGAATTCCCTTTTACATATAACGTAAGTATACGTATTGTTCAAGTAATACATGACTCTAATGGAGTCCTAGATATCGATCCCACAATGAAGCTGAAAATATATATAAGCTAGCTATATATATTCTATTATAAACTAAAAATAAAAACAAAGTAAAGTACGAAGTTTGAAGTTAAACTACTTAAGTGAAATACTACTAAATATGCAGATGTATGACTATAACAAGTAAATTAAACTAAATGTTAAACTTTCAAAAGCAAATTATTGAAATAAAATAAAGGTTTTTTGTTGACGAAAAGTTCAAGTATGAGAAAACATCAGAAAACATCCTTCCCCTTTACAATGAAATATGTCTTGTGAAGAAATTGAAATCATTTGAAAAATATATGTAAAAACTATTTTGTGTCAAATAGGAGCAATCCTATTCTCTTCCCTCTCTCGAGTGCTATAAAGAACATTGACTAATCCAGAGTTTGATCCCTAATTCTGTGGTTAGGTTGGGAGGATACCGACTGTCACTTCAGAGCTCCCACTTCTCCCTCACCTGATGGCTAACATGCTCGCATTAGTTTCCAATCAACTGAACCAAATTGGGGATTCTAATCTGTCACCTTAAAATCTTCTAATTCTATATCCAACGAAGTATATTTCCCTATTTATTTGCACATAATCCTATGGATGAAATACTCTCCCATAAAATCAAATGTGATTCTCCCTTTATTGTAAAAATCATATCCCATTTTCAGAACATATATTTCTCAACATTTTAACAATTCAATTGCCCACATCGAAAAGTAAATGAAGATCGGAGTTCAAATTATCACAAATTATTGACATTTAAAATCATAAAAAATAAATCAATTCTTCATAAAACCATTTCTTCAAAGTAGGGAGAAGGATAAAGAAGACTACTCAGAATTCATGAGAATGATACGATAAAACACGGATTTCATATATAAAAACATGTTTACAAATAAAAGAAATGAAAAATACAACTTACAATCCTTCCCAAGCAAATTCCTAGAAGTTCTCTCAAAGTATTTCCCTCTTTACAATCACTCTCAATTCTCTCTTAGAAATGTAATGAAGAAGAAATCTCTCTCATTCTCTCTTCTCTTACAAACCTAGAAGAAAATCTCCTCTTCTCTCTCTTTAACTATTGCAAATTCTCTCTCTCTCCCTCTCGTCACACTCTAGAAGTCCCTCTTCCTTTTGGGTTTCTTCTTCTGAACAGAGTTTCAATTTACCTCCAAAATTCAAAAGTCAAAACTTTGAATTTCAAAAGATGTGTCTTCTTGATCCAAGAGTCAAATCCCTTCAAATTGGAACCTTCCATAGTGTCTAAATGCATTGAATCACTCCATGGGGTGTTTAGAACAAGTGATTTGAAAATTCTCGTAAAATTCATCTCGAACGATCTTAATTTGAAAATGTCGCGTCTGGCGCATCATAAACCCCAAAATTGGCTGTTTTGCTGTAAATTTCGTTTCTTTTGTCATTTTTTCTCTAAATGCCTAAAAATGATATGTCTACAATAAAAATAAAAAAAATACATTTCTTTAAAGTGCAATATCACCAAAAATAGACATAAAAAGAGTACTTAAAACAATATATTATTTTTTTGTATCGATGCTCGTTCTGATTGATTGGATCTAACGAGAGATTGATGAAATTGCTTATCGTCAAGAAGTTCATATGGAGACGGAGAAAAGTTGTTTATTGCAAAAATAAAGTTGATTGTTCAATTAGTAAATGTTTTTGGGGCATTTACATACATGCTACCCAATTCCTACGTATTTACTTATCTAACACCTAAACTTTACTTTCTTACATTTATGCCACCCAAATCTATCACATCACATAAAAAAAATAACACCATTTTTTTACTTTTAGAAAGTGAAATAGGCCTTTTCATGCATAGCTAAGGTGGCGTGAGCATAAAAATGAACTTTAGGCCTTAGATATGTAAATACATAGGAATTGACTGTTATGTATGTAAATCTTCCTATTTTATCTTACACACCTTTTTGTTTATTTGTTTGTTATTGAGATTTGGCCAAATATGTAACAATACATATGTTTTTTATTATGCTGCAAAGCTTGATAAATTTTTTGTTAATAATACTTAATTATATGCTTTATTAGTTTTATAATCACCGTCATTAGACCGTACTGTAATTTAGTTTCTTAATGCATTCTCTGCAAGTTATTCTTACATGTGGAAGCTTCTCATGCGCAAAGCAACAAAAAAGATAATTTTTACTAAACTTTGAATGTTTTCAACCAATTTTTATTTTATACCCCTTTTTGCTATCAGAAGTAAACATTCGCATCAAATCCTCATAATTAACTTTGTACCGACATCTCAACGCTAAAATGAAATATTTTCGCTCAGTTTTAATTAAATCTTCATTTATTCGACTAATCGTCTTCTTCTTTTCCTCAGTTTACTTTTGTTTTTCTTATTGCATTTAAATGTCTCTGTTTATATCCTCTGCAATTTCCTCATTTGCTGAAATGAAAATTAGCTAATTATTATCTGTCAATAGCTATCATTGATATTATTTTCCTGTTTTTTTGAAAAATTTCTTTAATTTTATTAGATGACATCAAACAAAATAACATTAATCTTAGAATGCATTATGTTGCATATAAAAATATTTAGAACAAAGTGCATATTTAGGAATGAAATTTTAGTGAATATTTAAATAAATGTTTAGAACATGGCCATGGTATTTATAATGCTATTCCAATTAAAATTAAATCAAGCAAATTTTAATGGTTGTGTTTGGTTTGAGCGAAATGAGGGAAGAAAATGACAATACAGTGACAAAATGAAAATTTCTGCATTTTCACAGCTGTTTGATTGAGAGAAATATTATTATATATATATATTTTTTGGCATTTAGTTTAGGACCCACGTAGCTGTTTAAGATAAGATAAGGAAATAAAAAGCTAAGCTTTGTAGATTCTATTATTTGCTTATATGTAGTTAGAAGAGCATTAGTTTTACAGTTCTCAGACCATTTCAAAACTCTTCAAATATTTTAATTTTGAGAGCTCTTAATTTGAAATAAATGAAAATATATTCATCTCTGAACTAAATTCATGACAAGATTTTCTCATAACAGAGTCGACTATAGTGTGATATGGCTCGAGAAGCACCGAAATATAATAGCAAAAGAGCTAGAGATGCTCTCATGGAAGAACCAGCCGAAAAGCCGTCTGGTTCGAGAGACTTCAAAGTCAAATGACTATAGAAACCCGACGTGCCTCAAAACTAGGTCTTATCATCAAGGGTCGGCCAAGTGAAGACGGTAGTTCCATTGATGGAAAAATACATTTTGTACATGCGCACGCATACACACACACTTTTATATACATATATAGGAGAGAGAGAGAGAGAGAGAGAGAGAGAGAGAGAGAGGGCCAAACTAATTACATTTGCCACCCTAAAAAATTTCAGGGAGTAGAAGACTTAAAAAAGTGAAATAAATAAATATGTAAGCATGAGTTTAGTTTAATTATTTAACTAATTAATCACATAACTAACATTGGTTTGCAAATCACACGTCACCATAGAAGCTGTAAACGTGTTGCCAGATTTTAACATCTTAACCTAAAATATTCTATTCAAATATTGATGCGACAAATCTCAACTTGAACCAAAGGTTTATCTCAATGACAGCATTTGATTGCTTTATGATGAACATATGTTTTAAAAATAGTTTTTTTTATCATTTTCTTGGATGTAAGGGCGCATTCGGTTGCACATTTTATATGAAAATAAAATCATCTAAGTTGAGGACTTTGTGCTGTTTAAAACTTATTGGATTTCTAATTCAATATAAATTACCGTGCAATGATGAATTATTGCCATCTTGATTTTCAATATTAATTCTATATGACTAATGTTTTTATTAATTTTTGTATTATGATGGTTAAAAGGTTATTAATCTTGGTTGCTCCACTTTGAAATCAGAACCATGATTTTTAATACATTCGTTAGTGTGTTCTTAGATTATAGTTTAAAACTAAGTTTTTGAGAGCTTATCCTACTATATGTTTTTTGTAAATTCATCCTCATTGTCATTTCAATTATTATTTGTTTTATTTGATTTGATTTCATGGTCAAGGCTATGAAATTAACTCGAAGATTAAACATTGGTCATATTTTGAATCATGTTTTGAATTAGATTAAGATAGTATTGAAATCAATGAGTTAACTATCTAGTTAAGTTTCGCTTGGATCACATTTGGATTGAGTTAAGCCTGCATTAGTCAAGTTTACGCTTGGATCAAACTAACGAACCATGATTGGTATGAATTGAATAAGCCTACTTATAACTAGATTTAACTCGACTATAGATTCGTTCCAATGTATCTAATCCTATCTTGAGCTAGGGTTAAATTAGCTCAATATCATGTCACAATAATTAAAAATACTTACCGCTTATGGTTATTTCTAGGCTATTTGGTCAAGTGTGCTTTGGTGCCCAAATGCTTCAGGGGGAGAGAGAAATTACATGTTTGTTGTGCGTATTGACCAACATTCCATCTAATCAAGCTCATTTGATTTTTTGATTTACCCAAGGCTTGAGTGATGAGCGGATCACCATAATGGTCTATAGTGGATTGAAATGAGCCATATGGTGACTTGAAATTTAGCTCGATGCTTGGTTAACTATGTTTTACAATATTTAGTATATGTATATATATATATACATACATACATACATACATACATATACATTCTATTTATTTTATAATCTGCAGAAATGGCCTCAAGTTTGATCTTAGGAGTGGTATTAATTTTTGTTTTAGTTTTTTCACGTCTCATGACATTACCTTTGTTGTTAAAATTTCAAAAAATTGGGATCAGCTTAGTGTCAAACTGGAAGAACTCAATTCGTTCAATAAAACATTATTGTGCTTCAAACATAGTATGCAATGCATTAAATTGACACAAAACACAAATTCAGGAAAATACATTGAAGCGCATACTTAAAAGAAAGATAACTACATGAGTAACGCATTGCTTTTGTTCCCTCATCTACACTTTATTTTTGTTGATGCAGAGACACAATCAATCTCATAAAACATTTGATTGACTCAACCATGAGATGGATTTTATTGCTGTGAAGAAGTAAACTCATAAATGAAGAGAGATGGTGGATATGATTAGTGATATGGTGGAGGAGGAGACTTGTAGAAGTATGGTGGAGGAGAAGAAGTTGGTGGAGGAGGTGATTTATAATGATAGGGAGGGGGTGGTGAGGGAGATGGTGGAGGCGGGGATTTGTAATGGTATGGTGGAGGTGGTGTTGGGGATGGTGGAGGTGGTGATTTATAGTGGTATGGTGGAGGCGGAGAGGGAGATGGTGGAGGGGGAGACTTGTAGTGATAAGGAGGTGGAGGGGAGGGAGATGGTGGCGGTGGGGATTTGTAATGATATGGCGGGGGAGGTGAAGGTGATGGTGGAGGCGGTGATTTGTAGTGGTATGGGGGTGGAGGAGAGGGAGATGGTGGAGGGGGAGATTTATAGTGATTTGGTGGAGGAGGGGAGGGAGATGGTGGCGGTGGGGGTTTGTAATGATATGGCGGGGGGTGTGATGGTGGAGGAGGAGATTTATAATGATATGGCGGAGGTGGGGAGGGTGATGGTGGAGGTGGTGATTGGTAGTGATATGGTGGAGGAGGTGACGGTGATGGTGGTGGTGGCGATTTATAGTGATATGGTGGAGGTGGAGACGGTGATGGAGGAGGTGGTGATTTATAATGATATGGAGGAGGTGGCGAGGGCGATGGAGGGGGAGGAGACTTATAGTGATATGGAGGCGGAGGAGAGGGTGATGGTGGTGGTGGGGATTTGTAGTGGTATGGTGGAGGAGGAGATGGCGATGGCGGGGGTGGTGATTTATAATGGTATGGAGGAGGTGGAGAAGGAGATGGTGGAGGAGGAGATTTGTAGTGATAAGGAGGTGGAGGTGACGGAGATGGGGGTGGTGGAGATTGGTAATGGTACGGTGGTGGAGGCGAGGGTGGAGGTGAGGGAGATGGTGGGGGCGGTGATTTGTAGTGATATGGAGGCGGTGGAGAGGGAGATGGTGGTGGTGGTGATTTGTAGTGATATGGAGGCGGTGGAGATGAGTAGATATACTTCTCAGAGCCAGCCTCTACTGTTATGCCGGTCAAGCAAACCACCAGTGCTAGTAGTAGGTGTGGCAACAGCCTCACCTTCCGCTGATCAGCCACCGCTGATCAGCCATTGTTGGCTTGCTTAGCTTGATGCTTAGCTTGATGCTTTGCAAGGCTCCCAGCTTTCACTTTATATAGCCTTCTTACCCGTGGATTACCCATATTCTTTATTATTCAAGTAGAACCTCCAATAACTATCTTATTATTCCTTTTTCTTTTTTTCTCCAAGTCCTGTAATTGGTTCCCATTAACCCTCTGATTCCCCACGTTTTGATGTGGAATAAGCCAAAGTATGAACAATGACTTGCAAGGTTTGAATTGTCAAAAAAAAAAAAAAAAGGATTCTGACAGAAATAAATAAAAATTTTTATCCAATTATCCAAACAGGGCACAGGGTGAGTAGGTTGTATTTATTTGTGAGTTGATGAACATTTTTGGCCTTATATAATTAAGAATAGCATTGTTTATTTATTGCAAACTTAGGTAAATTGTTTATGAATTGTTTGGTAGTATAATGTATATATTTTTTTTCTTTTTTTAATAAATCAACTATGAAATCATGCTTATTTATTCGTAATTTATTATTTACAGCTGCCTTACACAAGGCACAAAGAAGTAAATTTACATGATAGCTCCATTTAACATTGATTTTCCAATACTTTACAGACCTGCTCCTCATTGAATTGTATCTCGCTTCTAAACAATTGCCATGACTTATTGCTGCTTTCATTTTTGCACATTTTAATTATTGTTTAATCATTTTAATATAGGATAGCTCAATTTATGTAATGTGTTTGAATTTACATTTTGGGCTTTGGGCTGTCTTTTTTTTATTTTTTAATTTTAGATCCTTTTCACATCAAATTTAATTAATCTTTTTTTTAGTTAATGCATCATCTAATTAGTGTTTTAATCTGTTTAAACAATAATTAATTTTATTGTTAATTATTTGCTATATGTATTATTTTTAGGGGCATTTATGTACAAACTACCCAATAAACTTTACTTTTTTACATTTATACAACCCAAATATTTCTTATCACATAAAAACATATTACTATTTTTCCTTCTCGAAAGTAAAATGCATCTTTTCATGCATAGATAAGAAGACATATTTGTAGAAATTGAAATTTAGGTGTTATATATGTAAATAATCATGAATTTAGTGGTTTGTATGTAAATCTTCTTTTTTATAGGGCCATTTGCATGCATACCACCCCATTCCTATGTATTTACCTATCTAACATCTAAACGTTGCTTTTACATCATACCACCCAAATTTTTATGTAAATACATAAGAATTGTGTGGTATGTATGTAAATCTACATTATTTTTATTGTTATGTTTATATTATCATTTTTCTAGCTATATTTCTCTCTTTTTTTTAAGTCCTTAGTATTTTGGGTTATTGATGATTCTCCTATCTTCTAATACTCCATTCACTATAACATAGTTGCTCTCATCACATTTTTGCATTCAACTTTTGAGTTACATTGAAGCTATTTGACAAGGGGACAATTATAATAAAATTATGTTGTTATATTGGTACAAATCAAAATTTAAATTTGCACAAACAAATTCTTCAAAATTATTTTTTTGATGTTACATTTTTGATCTCTAAGCTTAAAAAAAATATCAACTTCGCATATTTTTATTTCAATTTTTTGCGAAAAAATATTTTCTTCGTACCTTCGTTAAGGATGTTAAGAATAACCAGAACCATGATTTTTAATAGTTTCATTAGTATGTTCTCACATTATAGCTTAAAACCAAGTATTAAGAGCTTATCCTATTTAGTTTTTTTGTAAATGCATCCTCATTGACGTCCCGATTATTATTTGTTTTATTTGATTTGATGTCATGATCAAGGCTATGAAATTAACTCGAAGATTAAATGTTGCTCATATTTTGAATCAAGTTTTGAATTAGATTCAGTATTGAAATCAATGGGTCAACTATCAAGTTAAGTTTGGCTTGGATCACATTTGGATTGAGGTAAGCCTGTGTTAGTCAAGTTTGTGCTTGGATCAGATTAAAGAACCATGAATGGTATGAATTGAGTAAGCCAACTTATATCTAGATTTAGCTCGACTTTAGATTCGTTCCAATGTGTGTATCTTGAGCTAGGGTCAAATTAGCTCAATATCATGTCACTACAATTAAAAATACTTACCCCTTGTGGTTATTTCTAAGCTCTTTGATCAAGTGTGCTTTGGTGCTTAAATGCGAAAGGGGGAGAGAGAAATTAAATGTTTGTTGTGCGTGTTGACCAACATTTCGTCTAATCAAGCTCATTTGATCTTTTGATTTGCCAAATGCTTGAGTGATGAGCGAATCACCATCGTGTTCTATAGTGGATTAAAATGGGCCCTATGCTCGGGCCTCCCATGACTTAAACTTTAGCTTGATGCTTGATTAACTACGCTTTGCAATATTCAGTAATCATATATATATATATATATAATATTTTTTTATTTTTTTATTTTTTTTATTGCGCAATTAGTGGTTTGTTGGATGACAGTTTCGGTGTAAGTCCTCTCCCGGGTTTGAATCCACTTGGGTCAAATTAGTACATATGGGGTGGACAAATACATGTTGTTATCTATCTTTAGAAAAAAAAAAGTATATATATATGTGTGTGTGTGTGTGTGTGTTGCGTTCGCAGATCAATTGGTAGAGCATCGACTTTGTTCGTTATAAGTCCCTCTAGTCTAGGGTTCGAATCCACCCTTGTCTATGGGGTTGGTACTCGAGTGGTTAGGCGCATTAGAGGTAGCTGGGGCTCGTCTAATAAACTCTGACAATTTCTTTTATATATATATATAATCTATTTATTTTCTACTGTGTAGAAATAGCCTCAAGTTTTGATATGCCACCAACAAATTTTCATCATCCGATACGAATTTCGAGACATGACACAAATCCTGAGACGATATTTTGAACAAGAAACATTCAAATCTTTATAAAAATTCATCCAGAGCTCTTATTTCAGCAAACTTATAGTCAAACTGACCGGCTAAATGAGACAGACCTAATGATATAAAAACTAGTCCAATCCGAGTTAAATCAAGCTCAGATCAAGTCATTAAATCATCCTTGGAAGATTTTCAAACACATTTGGAAGGTCAAACAAATGTCGACAATAACAAGCCTATACTCGAATTGAGCGTCTCGACAAGATAAATCCAACGAGTCCCAGATCATTCAATTCCGACATCGTTAAAACTCTCAAATGTTCATTAAACGCAGCATGTTTGAACGAAATTCTCTGGACCGTCCGATCAAAATGATTGATATTTCTGCATTAATTGTATCAAGAACCACTATAAATAGAGCATCACCCCTCACGTGAGTGAGGAAGCTTGAGAGAGAACTTGAAACTTTGAGAAGGAGTTCAAGTCCAACATCATATCTGCCATCGTTGATCGCCGTCGACCACCAGCGACCGTCAACAACCACTGCCGGCCTCCGTTGACCACGATCGTTGTCGTCAACCACCGCCGATCACCATGGACCTCTGTCGACCACCGCCGAGCATCATTGCCAGTAACTAGACGCCGTCAGTCGACGTTGTAATCTGAAAAATATTGTTATCATTTCCCGTCTGTGGGACAAGAGTTTTTTGTAATCATCAATCAATAGTGGATTTCCGCAACTGGGCCAGACCCCGTGGTTTTTCCCTTACATGTTTTCCACGTAAAAAGTTATAGAGTCATCACTGTTTGTTTCTCTTTCATCTATGAGTATGCTGAACTTTCGTACAACGCTAAGACGATAATCCATTATTCTACCGTCACGAATTTTCTAGCACGCTTCAAGTTTGATCGTAGGAGTGGTATTAATTGTTGTTTTACTTTTTCACATCTCATAACTTTACCTTTGTTATTAAAATTTTAAAAATTTCAAACTGAAAGAACTCAATTCATTCAAGAAAACATTATTGTGCTTCAAACATACTATGCAATGCATTAAATTGATACAACATACAGATTCAGGGAAATACATTGAAACGCATACTTAAAGAAAGATAACTACATGAGTAAAGCATAGCATTTGTTCCTTCTATTTGCACAAGTCTCCACTTTATTTTTGTTGATGCAGAGATGCAATCAATCTCATAAAACATTTGATTGCTTAACCATGAGATGGATTTTATTGCCGTGACGGAATAAGCTCATAAAGGAAGAGAGGAGGAGGATATGATTAGTGATATGGTGGAGGAGGAGATTTGTATAAGTATGGTGGAGGAGAGGAAGATGGTGGAGGAGGAGATTTATAATGATAGGGAGGGGGTGGTGAGGGAGATGGTGGAGGCGGGGATTTGTAATGGTATGGTGGAGGGGGTGATGGGGATGGTGGAGGTGGTGATTTATAGTGGTATGGAGGAGGCGGAGAGGGAGATGGTGGAGGGGGAGACTTGTAGTGATAAGGAGGTGGAGGGGAGGGAGATGGTGGCGGTGGGGATTTGTAATGATATGGCGGGGGAGGTGAAGGTGATGGTGGAGGCGGTGATTTGTAGTGGTATGGGGGTGGAGGAGAGGGAGATGGTGGAGGGGGAGATTTATAGTGATTTGGTGGAGGAGGGGAGGGAGATGGTGGCGGTGGGGGTTTGTAATGATATGGCGGGGGGGGGGGGGGGGGGGGGGGGTGGTGATTGGTAGTGATATGGCGGAGGAGGAGACGGTGATGGTGGAGGTGGCGATTTGTAGTGATATGGTGGAGGTGGAGACGGTGATGGAGGAGGTGGTGATTTATAATGATATGGAGGAGGTGGAGAGGGAGATGGAGGGGGAGGAGACTTATAGTGATACGGAGGTGGAGGTGAGGGTGATGGTGGTGGTGGGGATTTATAGTGGTATGGTGGAGGAGGAGATGGCGATGGCGGGGGTGGTGATTTATAATGGTATGGAGGAGGTGGAGAAGGAGATGGTGGAGGAGGAGATTTGTAGTGATAAGGAGGTGGAGGTGACGGAGATGGGGGTGGTGGAGATTGGTAATGGTACGGTGGTGGAGGCGAGGGAGATGGTGGGGGTGGTGATTTATAGTGATATGGTGGCGGTGGAGATGAGTAGATATATTTCTCAGAGCCCGCTTCTACTGTTAAGCAGGTCGAGCAAACCACCAGTGCTAGTAGTAGGTGTGGCAACAGCCTCACCTTGCGCTGTTCAGCCATGGTTGGCTTGCTTAGCTTGTGCTTTGCAAGGCTCCCAGCCTTCACTTTATATAGCCTTCTTACCTAGTGGATTACCCATATTCTTTATTATACCTTCAATAACTATCTTATTATTCCTTTTTCTTTTTTTCTCCAAGTCCTGTAATTGGTTCCCATTAAGCCTCTGATTCCCCACGTTTTGATGTGGAATGAGCCAAAGTATGAACAAAGACTTGCAAGGTTTGAATTGTTAAGAAAAAAAAAAAGATTCTGACAGTAATAAATAAAAATTATTATCCAAACATGGTGAGTAGGTTGTATTTATTTGTGTGAGCTGATGAACATTTTTGGCCTTATATAATTAAGAATAGCATTGTTTATTTCTTGCAAACTTAGGTAACTTGTTTATGAATTGTTTGGTCGTATAATATATATATTTTTCTTTTTTTAATAAATCAACCATGAAATCATGCTTATTTATTCGTAATTTATTATTTACAGCTGCCTTACGCATGGCACAAAGAAGGAAATTTGCATAATAACTCCATTTAACATTGGTTTTCCAATACTTTACCAACCTACTCCAATGAATTGTAACTTGCTTCTAAGCAATTGCTATTGACTTGGGCCCCATTTGGGGCAGTATTTGGTACGGTGCATCTTGTTCAAAAAATTGTGTTTTCAATTCGTTGAAATCAACATTTTCACACTGTTCCTAGCTAGGTGTAGTGACAGCTTTCTAGCTGAGATTTGACCTTTCAAAAAAAAAAAAATTGTAATTGCCACCGTAGCTTTTTGAACAGCTGATTATTTTTCAACAACTTATCAGTAGCTTATTAATAAGTTGTAATTGCCCGAACGGATCATCGTGCTTTCATTTTTGCATATTTTAATGTATTATTTAATCATTTTAAGTATGATAGCTCAATTAATGTAATGTGTTTGAATTTACATAAATTTTATATTTTTGGGGTTTTAGTTGTCTTTTTTTTTAGTTCCTTTTCACATTAATTTTAATTCATCTTTTTTATTAATGCATCGTCTAATTAATGTTTTAATATGTTTAAACTATATTAAATTTTATTGTTAATTATTTGCATTATGTATTACCACCCAAATATTTCACATCACAAAAAATACCACTATTTTAACTTTTAAAAAGAAAACTAAAACTGCAAGCATAGATAAAATGGTATATTTGTAAAAAAATGATGTTTATGTGTTAGATATGTAAATACATAAGAATATTGTGGTATGTATGTAAATTTATACTATCATTTCTCTAATTATATTTCTCTCATTTCTCTCTTATCACCTAATACTCCATTCACTATAACATAGTTGCTCTTATTACATTTTTGCAAACTTCAACTTTTGAGTCATATTGAAGATATTTAACAAGGGCCAATTTTAATAAAATTATGGTGTTATATTGTTACAAATCAAAATTTTAATTTGCACGAACAAATACTTCAAAATTATTTTTTTGATGTTACATTTATGATCTTTTGCTGCCTTCATTAAGAATGACTAGTCCTAACAGCTAGATCTGAGTTTGACTCGAAAAATTTTGAATTTGAGTCGACTCAATTAACCATCGAATTGTTTGTAAGTTAGGTTTGATTTGAAAAGATGAACTTATTTCAAATATAATATGAAAATGGACGCAAAATATAGACTTGTTTCAAGAACATGACTTTAACCCCGATTGTTCGAGTTGAGTTTGGGATAGGTTTTCGATTCATTCATTAAATGAGTCTAGTACGTGTCATGCAGCTTTAGGTCGAATTCGAATTAAATTTGACTAATCATCAAATTCAATCGATTAACTCAATTGATGATTAAGAATATAGTTATGGATTAATTAATTATATCATAAAGTTATATATTAACTAGATGACAAACCTTCATTTTATATGGCGGTTTGAGGGCCCACACGGTTTGAATTTTGACTTTTGGGGTGGGTAGAGTGGGTCCCCCTCAACTGCCATTTTATCCTTAAGAAAAAAACCATTAAAAATTAATTTGATTTTAGCATTGTTTAGGCCTTTTTTTTTTCCTTGTTTTTTTTTTCAATGATTGGATTTTGCCAGCTAAATTTAGGGTTATGATATGAAGTCAATTGAATAAGATTTACATACATACCCACAATTCTTTCGTATTTACAAATATAAAGCTAAATTTTATTTTCTTACAACTATATCACCAAATTTTTTATATCAAGAAAAATAATTTTTTTTAACTTTTAAGAAGTGAAATACAAATTTGTATGCATAGAAAAAATAATATATATAGATAGATAGATATATAATGTATGTGTGTGTGTGAAAATTGTTCGATATATAGAGACATAAAAATTGGCTGGTTTGTACTCAAATATTAGTGATACACATTCAACAAAATTTCATCATTCGACAAGAATCTCAATACATGACTCAAATCTCGAGTCAATTTTTTTAGTATGAAATATTCAAAACTCAATAAAAAGTCATTCAGAACTCCGATTTCAACAAATTTACCGAGTCTACAAGAAGAACTCGATGTTACAAAAATTGATCCAATCTGAACCAATTCAAACCTAGATCAAACCATTAAATTGCTTTTGGAGGTTTTTTGGACATATTTAGAAAGTCAAATAAATGTCCATTTTAATGAGTCTATAGTTAAATCGAGTATCTTGACAAGACAAATCCAAGGAGGGCAAGATCACTCAATTCCGACATTATTAAGTCACCCAAATGTTCATCAAATATCATTCAATCGAGGGAAGTCTTCTGAGAGGTCCGATCTAAGTGATTCATATTACAACATTACTTATACTAAAAACTCTATAAATAAAGTCCCACCCCTCTCGTGATGTGGGGTGGGGGGAGTGGGGGAGAAGCTTGAGGCTGAGAAAAAACTTGAAGCTTTGAGAAGAAACTTAAGCCCGACACCATTCCTGTTGTCGTCGACCATCACTAACATCGCCGAGCACTCTTAACATTGTTGACCACAGACGACTGCCGTCAACCACAACCGACCGCCGACGAACACCACAGACTGTCGCCTCGACCACAACCGACCGCCGTCGATCACCAACAATCTCTGTCAACCACCACCGATCGTCATCACATCAACCACCGTTGACCACCACCGACCCGATGTCGCTAATCGTTATCAATCACCATCAATTGACGTCGTAACTTAAGAAACCTAGTAATTCTTTCCCACGTGTGGAAAGTGACTGCAACTATAATCATTATTTTATAGTGAAACTTTTTAACTGAGTCAGACCCCGTGGTTTTTTCTTTTACAGGTTTTCACGTAAAAACTTCTGGTGTTATTATTAGATGTTTTCTTTTTTTTTAGTGTGTGTTGAATCTCTGTATCACGCTAAGACGATAATCTGCTACTCTAGTGTCGCAAATTTTTTAGCAGACATCAATTAGATTTAGTTTGGGTCCAAGAGGCTATTCAATGCCATGAATATTTTTTGAAATTAATATCATAATGCTTTTTCTAAGAGGTTAATGTCATGTATAACTTAAGATTATAATAAATTTTTAATATGTAAATATAAAAGTGTTGATTTGTAAATCATACAAAATTTGTCTTTTTGTATATTATTTTTTTATTATCTTTTTCCTTAATTTTCTGCCCTAACAAGATATACATTAATATAGAAAAAATATAAATTTCTTAGAGAAAAGAAAAGGAAGGTACATTGCGACTTCTCACCGATTATTTTAGGTCTTAAAAATATCAAATTTCTCAAGCTAATAAGGAACGATCGCGTTATAATTTATAATAATGTAAATTTTACAGGAGTTTTTTGTTAAAATAAAAAGAGGCCTCTTTTTTTATATCTTTATTATTTTTATTTTCTTCAGTTTTTTAATAAAATAAAGCACTTGATAGCTTAAAAAAATAGAGGATAAAGTGAGGCATTAATCCCTAGAAAATTAATTCAAACTTTAGCTCAGAAAATAAATGAGTTTTTTCGAGTCGATTTCAAGTAATAAACCAATTGGCTGAAAGTGGCTTGGGTTCGACTCAAAGTTACATATATAATGCTAAGATAAAATCAAATATAATAAGTTATAAGTCGATTTCGGGTTGAAACTGAACCAAATAACTCATTTTGTACTAACCTGTTTCGATTTCGAGTTGGATCGATCTCGACTCAATTTTGAGTTGACATGGCTTGAAATCGAATATAAAAACCCATGAGCTGGTTTTGAGCCGCACTCAATCCTTTCAAGCAGATCCCAACTCGGCTCGAAATCAGATCCTTAACAGCCCTAAGAGCACAAACGCATAAATCAAAGGATAGATTATTGCTCAAAGCACCATTCACACAAATATAACAAGCTAAGGATCTGTTGGATTTTATTTTGAGAATATTAAAAGTGAATATAGATTTTAGTTGTAATTGAATTTTAAAAATTATGTCAGGATATAAATTAAATAAATGCATTTGCCAAGACACCTTGATACAAATTCTATTACAATTAACTTAAGAAATATTTTGATAATTAAATAAATAATAACAATGATTATTAAGTTCTTGTCTTGTACATAAAAAGTAGATTTTCCAATCAATCAAAAAAGCTCAAACATTAGACTATTGGAGTGAGCCCAATTATCATGCACTCAAGGCCTGGTTGCAAGTAGATTGTGCTTGCCAACCATTTCCCTGGAAGTGTGGTTATAACTCTTGTATCCCTGAAGGGATTGGTGAGTTCCCCTACTTCGCTCGTCGGCATTCTTACAAGATCACAACCGAGCTCGCTAGTATTCATACTAGCTCTCCTGTTGAGCTCTTTTGTGTTTATTGAGCCACGTCGACAAGTTCATTGAATAATGTTTCAAGGTTGTATGCACGATATGGGGAAGCAAACTCCAACTCATTACTGTCCATGCCCATTTATGGAGAAATTATTGCATCGGGACACCTTATGCAAATTGGCAGCAGGTGCCCAATAACAGGGAGCCACGTGACAATTTGGGCCCACGGCAGCAGATGCCCAATAACAGGGAGCCACGTAACAATTTGGGCCCACTGACATACA